GAGCCAAGCACGGGAAACAAATAGACAAAGGGGGGAAGGAGAATAAACAAGATCAAATAAATAATGAGCTAATTTTTAGCTCCATAAATGAACTAAAAACCAGCTCATAATGAGCTAACCTTCCACTTGACATTAATGAGCTGGAGAAGTCAAAAATCAAATTTTTTTGGGTTTGATTTGACCCCCCCTTTGTCTACATCAAGATCTAAAATTGAATTCATGAAGTCTAATTATAGTAGTAAGAGATGTAGTAGGATTGTGACATTGGGTGATCTAGTCATTAAAAGATGTGCACATTTTAGATAACTTAGGTCTATTGTTCAAAGGGATGGTGAAATGGATGGGGATATTATTTGTAATTTTCAAGTTTGATGGTTGAAGTGGAGGAATGTATTGGGCCTATTGTGGGATAGAAAAGTATCTCTCAAACTTAAGGAAAATTTTTATAAGATGGTGACGAGACCAAATCTATTGTGCAAAATGTTGGCCATTAAAAGAGAGGTATAAAACTGAGTATGCTGAGATGAGGATGCTCAGGTGGATGAGTAGCTATACACTCAATTACTGAATGCGAAATAAGTATATACATGAAAAGGTTGGAGTAGCTCTAATAGAAGAAAGGTTTCATAAAATGTAGTCCTTTTGATGTTCCTGTTAGGAGAGTAGATTATTAGATCTAACATATATTAAGAAATGAAGAGGTAATGTTAGCAAGATTTGATTGGTAAGTTTTACAAATGAAATTTTTATTAGATTTAAATGAGAATTTAACTCTTAATCAGACCTAATGGAGAAAAAGAATTCATGTAGTCATCCCACAGTAGGAAAATGGCTTGTTGTTATTATAACCTTGCCAACTATGCTAATTTTCTTACGAAGGATCATTTTTATGATTAACATTTGCAATTACATTTGTAAGATATATTATCACTACAGTATTGAGATCAGATATTTGTTGCAGATAACACCCATTTTGACTTTACCAATCTTGATTGAGTGGGTGAAAGTAGTCTTACTAGATTATCACAAAATATACCTCATTGTTTAATAGATTTTCCCATGCTCATTAATATGAATCGTGCACAATTTAAATCATCAAAATAGATTTCAGAGCTTTTGATACTTCTGAAGAAAATGTGTATATTCTGGAAGTCCTTAAATCTCATCATGTATATATTTTTCCTCTATATTATATCTCGTAATTGTACATTCACCCATAATATTGGAGTATAAGATAGTTGTGTTACCTGTCCACCTGCTTCTTTCTCTTTCCTGAAAAAGAATCATTATAACATTCACCCTCAGCACAATTTCGCCCCTTTAACCCTCAAAGCCTACACAATGAGTTCAGGATTTGAGGCGTACACCTTAAGTTTACTGAGGCGCGCCTTGCCTCACGGTTGAGAGGCGTCCGCCTCTAAAAAATAAAAAAAAGCTAATGTACATGCTCGGTACTGCTCGGTACCGCTCGGTACATGCTTGGTACCGCTCGGTATCTTTCCATACAAATAACTTACGAACTTTAAAAACAAGCATAACTTCAAAATTACTCTTACAATAAAAATTTGTTCCGGGGGCGCTGCCCTTGACCCTGCGCCCTGACCGATATCTTATTGTATTCATGTTGTCATATTATTGGGATATTCTGATTTCACTTCATATATTGTATATTTTTATGTTTTATATATTATTTACTCATTAGTATATACAAAATTTATCATTTTATGTTTACGCAATTTTTTGATTTTGGGGTTTACGCCTCGCCTCACGAACGAAAAATGGCTCAATACCCGATTACACAATTTTAAACATTGAATGAAATTATAAAATTTTATTATTATTAAGTCCTAAGAATTATTTGCTTTTGATATTAGCGATTGAGTATCTCACTTGAATTATAGGATCCCCTTTAAGGTGAATATCCTGATTTCTATCACCTTGATATCTTGTTCTTTGGTAAACAATTTAATAATAATAATTTTCTTACTTTAAAATTAATTCTTAATGTGTCTCATTGAAACTAAATCAATTGGAATCCAACAATATTTTTAACTCAAATTAATTTTTCCTCATTCAAACATTCAACCCTATAAATTCGAATCTAAATTCAATTTGTGGAAGAAGATGTAAAAATAGGATTTTTACTAGAAGTCTTGATTTTTTTCTCTTCTTTTTTCCTCTTTCTTTGTTTTACGCTTTTTCCTTAACTTTTTCGTCTTCATTTCAATCTTTTTCCTTCTTTTCTTCTTTTATATGTTTTATTCCCCCTTCTCGGTTTGTTGTATTGAGCTCCCCTGATGCAGGATTAAGCGAAATGAGTCACACAAATAGAGATTTAGGCTAAGATAACATCGAAGACAGGAAAATAAACTTCATAAAACATTAAGAACAAAGAGAAAACTTGAACTATTAGATCATGTGATAGCAAGAGACTAACAAGTAAAGGTTAAACATTAAAAATAGGTGAATCAATTTAGACTAGCTAACATGGGTTGACACAAGTCCTACATTTAATTAAGGGACTAGTCACTAGAGTTTCCAATCATTGAAATTTAAGTAGGACTTGACAGATTAATCAACACATGAGATGATGCTACTATGGATGAAATAAGAAGATCAATATTTAGTTAGAAGAAGAACAAAGTAAGGGTTTGATGCTTAGCTCATGAATGAGAGGAATGGAGTCCTTGATGAAATAATAGCTAGTTCCTCCTTGGATTTCCCTTGAAACCCTTGCTCTTGATAAATCGATGTCCTCATTGAAAAAGTAGATGCTAGGTTTCCTTGGAAAGGTAGAATAGTGAGGGAGAAAAGGTAGAATTGGTTGGGAGGATTTGTATTTGGAAGTGAGGTAGAAAAGTTTCAGCTATAGGAGGATTTGGAAGTGAAGAAGTCAGCTTGGGAGGTGAAAAGGTAGAGTTGGTTGCTTGGGAAAGAGAGAGGGCTGATGTGGTTTGCTTGGGAAGGGAAGTATTTGGCTTGGGAAATGGAAAAGTTAACATGGTTGCTTTGGGAATATAGAGAATTAAATGTAGCTTGCTTGGGAAGGGAACTATTTGGCATGGGAAGAGGAAAAGTTAAAGTGGTTACTTACTTTGGGAAGAGAGGGAATTAAATGTAGCTTGCTTGGGAAGGGAATTAGTTGGCTTAGGAAAAGGAAAAGTTAAAGTGGTTGCTTTGGCAAAAGAGAGAAGTTAAAACTGTTCTGGGTTCCCAAATGTCACAATTAATTGAGAAAATTGTTCAATTAATGTGAATTAATTACAAGATTGGGAAGCCCAAGGGTCTGGGGTGTTGGGGAGAAGGTGGAGGCGGGAAGAGAGGAGGTGGTGGGTTGAGAGCAGTAGGTTGCTGCAGCGGTGGGGATTAGTGGACGGCTAGGGAAGGAGAAGAGATAGAGAGGGAGATGATATCAACCAAGAGCTCACAAGCTGTTGGGTATTTTCTTTTCCTTTCTCCAAAGGACTTCACATACAAACTCAACTCATCAATAAAAGAGGAAACATATAACCAGAAATTTTATATCGAATATTCATCATCCTTACAAGAGAACAATGGGACATGTATATAGGCACTAAAACATGAAGGAATAAAAGATAAGAAGGCCCTTGGCCAAACAACACAAAAGCTCCCTTAAGAGAGGGTAAAATTGTAATAAAATAAATAAAACCGCATAAATATCCTATAACATATGAAAACTAAAAATATAAAGACTCAATCAAGGCCGTAAATCCTCCGGCCTCTACGGTGATAAACCCTCCAAGCTTCGATGTCCCCATCATCCCCCCTCTTCTCTTTTTTTGCTTCTTTCTTCTCCTCCACTTCTTATATATATATCCTACAAGCTATTCCTATCATCAATTTATTGATTTATCCTCGCAGGACGTAGAATTTTAGAAGATTATGCTTTTGCTACAACACAATATCCATTCTATAGTAAAATTAAAGTGAAATTTTAGGAAATCATTTATTAATTAATTAAATGTATAACTATTATAGTGCTGAATTATTCAGATTTAATTATATATATATCAAAATGATCATAATGATGTGTAGAATTTTATAAAAATAGTTTCAATGATTTTTGAGATGTGAGAAAAGTGAGGTATAAATTTTTGGGGAAAATTTTCGTACATTTTTGAAAATTTTGAGTGCTACTTAATATGATGATCTTGATTTTTAAAAAGAGAGTTTATGATGCTTAAAAAATGATGTAGTTTAGAGTAATTGCTCTCTTCTCAAGGCGGCAATAATAGGTTCACTTTTATTTTAGCCCACACAACATTCTCTTACAGAAAATATTGAATTTTGATGTCTTTGTCGGAGCAAATTACAGTATTTTGATTTGAACAGCTTTATTGCCCCTTTAAATGTTGTGCACGCTTTTTTTATGCTTCGCATAGTGCATTTTAATAATTCACCATATACTTGTCCGTTCTTCAATGTCTTCACACAATTCTCTTTTCGATGTACTTATATATTTGTATTTTTTTTGTGCGCTTACATTTTACACTTGCACACTTCATGAGATGAGTCAAATTTGTGTTCAAATTTATTTTATTTTGAGATCATTTTGGATTTTGGAGTTTGAGTATTTGTTGGAGCACATTCGGTATCTTGACAATTCGATTATTATTTTTTAGATGATGTGCAAATCTTTCGTTGCTTTTGCATAGCACTATTTTTATGTGCCAACACACTGCACTTTCATGTTTTTTTGTTGCATATGCACAATTTTCAATATACTAAAGCTTTTGAATGCGTGATTTTGCAAAAATTTTTCCATGCATTTGCAAAGTGTATGTATACAACTTTCAATGTATTGTGCCATTTTTTATGTACCGTGACATGTTTTTCAATACATCACATTTGAAATTGAAAAATATGTTGTTTTGCATGCATGATTTAAAAATATTTTTTATTTTTTATGAAAAATGACCAAAATGGTCTTTTTTGGCTTCTTATGAAAAATCAAAATAGTCTCCAACTATATTAAAGGACTATATTGATTCCTCGACTTTTTAAAGAGGAGGGATAGCTCATTTCAATGCTTTGTCCTAGATAAACTTGTTGACAAAAAAATTTCTTTGGTTCAACCTTAGGCTTTGTAAAAACTTCGGGACAACTTTTTTGGTCTCATGCTTTCTTCCTTGCCAGACTTATTGAAGCGGGAAGTTCATTCTGTTAGTGAAATATAAAATAATATCTTCGCAAGTTGGTGCTAAAAATATGAGATGTTCAAAATTCTGTCTTGACATTGAGTTTCCTTACATCAATGGTGTTTCTCTTTCTCAAAGAAAATATGCTCATACATGCTCAAGGAAGTTGGGCTTTGTGGATGCAAACCTGTCGAATCTCTCATAAATATTCTACATATAGCTAATGATTTTGAAAGCTACGAAGATATACCTCACCGTTGACATTTGGTTGGTAATTTATCCAATCTAATTACACCCGTCTTAATATTTATATTTTTTGCACCTCATAAATTTATTTTTCGACCATTCCAGTTGATGAAGCATTCAATATGCATCACCATTGGGATCATGAATTCATATTAATATTCTTTATATTCTCCATCTTTTTCTTTTGAGCTTATTACAGCACTGGATGAGTCCCACCATTGTTACCATCTTCACAAGACAAGTTTACTCGATCATTTAGGATTAAATTGTGTTTAAAGTTGCCTAGCTTTTTGATAATACTACCCTAAATTGGCTAAGTTTAGTAAGAAGCTCAAAATCTATTTAATGGGTTTGAGACTTGAGCAACCGCACTTAATCTCAATCACAACAAACACTTAAGGTCTATTTGGGATAGTTGCAACTTTTTATAAGGTGGTTATAAAACTGTTTTGAGAAAAATAACTTTCTTAAAAGCTACTGTAAAAAGTAGTTTTCTATCATAAATTTTTTTTAAAAGAAAAAAAAAAAAAAACAATAGCGAACTAGAAATTGTTGCTGCAGTCTAAAAATGAAAGCAACAAGAAAGTTGACCCAAATAGACTCTTACCGTTTTATTTGCAATTTGACTATGTTATGATGTTTACTTGCATGTGTATTACTAGCCAATATTTACCAATTTCTCACTACAATCAGGTTTTGTTATAGTTTTAATTACAAATAGCATCATAGCAACCCTTTTCCATAACTCTACAATCAAGGTTTGTATTTAATTGCAACTTTTAGGTAATTTCGTAGCACAAAGAACTTTTAGATTCTTCATTTCATGGATTGTGGTTGATTGTTTATAGTTTTACTGTTTATTTAACTTCTACCATTACCTCTTTTTTTTTAACTAGGATTTGATGATGTTCATATTGTTCAGTTTCTCTCATTACTCTCATTAGCATGGGATATTTTGTGTTTGGATTGCTACTAGGGTTTATTCATTTCTGTTTCTTCTTTGATTTTAAGTGATCTCAGTGGTTACAAATACAAATACTCTGGGGATCATTTTGAAGTTCCATTTGACTGTAGGGTTGATCCTCCTATGCTTGGGTATGTTGCCTCTAGCATTTAACCATAAGCATGGTCTGTATTTTCTTCTATGCCCTTATTATTGTTATAATCCGATATACCTTAGGTACGCAAAGCCATGGATTGATGATGTTGTAGGTGACTTTTGTTGTCTATTCTTTCCTTATACACCGAAGCACCTGCAAATTAACTTCTCCAAATCCAAGGATTTGCAGTCAAAAGAGATAAATAACAGCGAAGGCTTCATGTATGTTACCATCATTGCCTCACTTAAAGAAGCTCCATATGTTACGGGTTCCGCTCATGCAATATTTGTCGGAGGTTTTTCAACTGAAATTGAGCAGGTATTATAATTATTCATTTTAAGTGTAGCACTATTATTCTTATACTGGCAAAAAATCAAGAGACGAGCCTTCCTTTTTTCCTTGATAAAATTGCTGGTCTGGTGTGATGCAGCTAAACTTGTCACGTAGTTACAATCAGAGCCGGATAACTGTAACTGGTAATACAGGTATGTCTAAGCAGAAGCTATTCTGATGGTATTTCATAATTTAAGGAAGTTTGCTATCAAAGTGTACTGATTTTAGTTCTATATTGTAGATTTGGAATTATATTGGAATCTGAAAGACATTTTACTTGTCACTTCAATTTCAAAAGAGGGTTCTGGCATTGGAGGCTTTGCGGAATATGACGTGAGTCTTTTTATTTTCCTTTTTTTATTTTCATATTTATTTCACAATAGCCCTTAAGCCTCCTCAATGCATTTGCTTACCTCAGGTCAAAGTTCTTAAAAGTCAAAGTTTCAAGGATAAAATTATCTTTGTCCTTCCTGCGACTGGTATGATCTATATGCCTATTTTGATGCCATTCATCATACTTGCCATTTAATTTGGTTTGTTATATATTGTGGAGCAGAATCTAGGTGAACAAAAACTGTTATGCCAAAAGTTTTGTTTTTTGATAAAAGAAATGCTTTGTTGTAAAGATAAAAATGGCTTTTGTTTCACGTCTTTAACAAGGGCCTGTCGACTCTGTTGGATTTTAGGAAAATGATTTGGTTAAAAAAAAAAAGTAAACATAGTGAAAGGAAATGGACTATGCTTTACTGTAAAATTTTAACAAGTAGCTGTTGAGTCATAATATCTCATGACTTCCCAAGCTCTTTTCATTTTAAAATCTTCTTGTACCCCTTCATTGCCAATCAACTTAGCATTATCTTAATAGATATTCTTTTGCAGGCCAAAAGGCTGAAGTTGATGTGACCTATGAGGATGGAACAAGTGCTGCTTCAGCACGAGCCAGTAGCATAACCTGGAGTGCAGTTATCATTTGTGTTATTGTTTTGATCTTAACGTTCTTTCTTTTTCTTAAGCTACTAGACAGACCAACCAGACCAGTAACAACAAGGCCAACTGCCCCTTTCTCATCAGCCGTAACAGGCCCCTCAACCCCACAGCCTCCATCAGCCCTTGCCAACAGTCCTTTCTCTCCAAGAACACCTCAGCCCTTTGTTGAGTACGTGAGGAGGACAATTGATGAAACGCCATACTACAAGAGAGACGGCAGAAGGAGGTTTGATCCTCAGCACACTTACTAAAGTTTTTATGTGAAGATAATTATTCTGTTCATTAAGTATTATCAGTTTGAAGATATATATATTGAACAGGCTCATGTGGGTTCTAACTTTCAGGAGCTCCTGTTAATTTAAACATTTGTGTAACTTGTTTGAAAAATATGATTATACTCGAATTTTATTTTAATTTTAATCTCAGTTTTCCCTTTGAAATAGCGTTTTCTTTGACTTGCATATTGGTAACTAAGCTGATTTTACGCAATATATATATAGTTAGGATTTTTAATAGATATCACCAAATTGAAATTGTTTTAATACAAGGGTTGTTTAGTCTTTGGGAGGGGAATTATTGTGTTTGCTTTAAATTAGATTTTTGCATCATGGTTAGGGTTATGTTTATTGTGGCTGATTTTTGTTTCGGTGCTTAGAGATCTTGGGCTCTAGGGGCATCTAGAGAATTGGGAGAGAGATCCTCCTCGAATAGAGGATCAATTGTATCTTGGTATTTTCTTGTTCTTTTCCTCAAATAATACAAAATATCTACTGTTTTTTTTGTTTTGCTTGGAGTTTTGTGGAGATTTATCGTTGATTTCCCAAGATTGATAAGTTTCACTTGAAAACTAAGTGTTTTCTATCAAATTGGTATCAGAGCAATTTTTCGAGCTCTTTGGGGTTTGTTTCGGTGAATTTTGCAGCAAATTTTTGTTTGAAAACGTGATTTTTTGCTGTTTTTTGGAGTTGAGATTCAGATTTTTGAGTATAACAAAAATACTTAGTATTTATGGTGGCCAAGAAGATGGATGATTTAAAAAAAGGACTCGAGGGAGAGATGTGACAAATCAAAGCAACGGTGGAGAATAGAATTTCCTCCATATAAGTAAAATTCTCGGATCTTTAGGAGAGTGAAAAAAATATGGGATCATCAAAACCAAACGGCGGCATCAGAGGCAAGAGAGCCGATAGGGAGAAATACGAATTCTGAAATTTATAGAGATGAAAATGAGGTGGAAATCATAGAGGGAGGGGGAAGAAGACCCCATCTAGCCCTTTCCAGAGGGAGGAGAGAGGGGGAATGTATGGTGAGAGGCGTGGACATGCGGGGTATGAGCAAAGGGGGTTTTATTGGGAAAGAAGGGATGAGAATTATGGTCGGAGATGTGCTGATTTTGACAGAAGAAGGGGGGAAATGGAAGAAGGGTTTGGGTATGAATGTGGAAAGGAGGGGGATTTCATGTAGGAGCTCAAATCAAAGATTTGGCAGCAGTGTGAGTCATGAAACCTTGTGACTTGGGAGAAGCTATGGAGTTAACTCAACTGGTGAAGGATCAGAAGTACCAGGAGAGGGGAGTTAGAGGCAGCAGTTCAGGTGGCGGAGATCTTCCTGAACATAGTGGTAGGATTCACTCTGAGTTATACCATGAAAGTGAAGAGGGAAATAGCAGACAAGGAGGTGGTGGTGTTGATCAACAGTGGGGTTATCCATAATTTCATCTCTAACCAGGTCGTGGACCAATTAGGGGTGACATTGGTAGATGCAGGGTGCTATAGAGTGGTGATGGGTACATGGAAGGTGGAGACGGGCAAAGGGGTTTATAAGAGAGTAGTGCTGACCATACATGGGGTTTAAGTGAGGGAAGATTTTCTCCCATTGGAGTTAGAGAGCACATATGTCATCTTGTTGATGAGGTGTTTGTAGACCTTGGGGAATACAATATAATACCCAAAATCTTCAAAATAAAGGTAAGTATAAACTTCTCATAAATGTTTTCATTAAAACTCTATTATTATTTTTTTAATCCTCAACATTTTAATATATAGAAGTATTTAAATATTAATTAAAGTGTATCGTTATAACTATTAAATGAATAATAGTGTACTACTTAAATAGCAGTAATTTTACATGTTAATTAATTGTTAATTGTGAAATGTAAAACTAATGAGTCAATTTATTCCCTTATTTTATTTCATTCCTGTAGCTCCACTTATCTAGGCATGCATTGGTCTGATTGAGATTAGCTCCTGGAAGCTATTGAGGAGGGTTAGTGGAGTGCTGCAGTGGAGTATTAATGTTCTGATATTAAGTACTTGGAGCACTAGCATTTCAATAGCCTTTCCTTCATACCGGCTGCTTGCTGGGAAGGTTAGGTAAGGGCTTTAAATTGTTGAAATTAGTATGGTAACATATTTTAATTTGCTGAAAATTCAGAAACCATTACAGTAAGGGCTGAATCAGTGTTTGTTGTTGCTGAAATCTATATTTGTGTGCTGAAATAAGGGGAGTGATCAAGGCTACTGTACAATTCTGAAATCAGCTAGAATTGTTGAAACCAGTGAGGAAAAGGAAGAGGAAAAGCTGTGTTTGTTGATATTAGGTAATGGTGGTCTGTTTTTTTTGCTAAAATACTACCGCAGTTGCTGAAAACAGCCGCTGAACACAGTAAGAAGACAAATTCAATGGGTTGTGATTGAATTTTGTTAAGGAAGAGAGAGCTGAGGGGGTGGGTTGAATGAAGACATGTTTAGTAGAGGTGGTGTACAAAAGAAAAAGAAAGTATTTATTTTTTTAGAAAGTGATATGAATTCCTCTGTGATATGAATTTTAATTTATTTATTTTTTTAGTATTGTTATTAAATTAGAGAATAACTGTTATGCATTTATTACATCTGTCATTATTGTGATTTATTTAAATTATATTTAATTTTTTTAAAATATTAAGTAAAATATTGATAAAAGAATATTAAAAAATTTAGATTGATTTATGTGTGTTTGTTTTTGTTGGCTTGTGGGGCTGTTGTGGCTCTTTTTTTTTTTTTTTTTTTTGCTTCTTATTTTTAAGATTTGGGAAGGGGAAGTAGATTGTAGATTAGTAGTTCAATATCAGATCTGAGGTCATAGGTATTTTATTATTTTTTCTACAATCATGTTTAGTTAAATTTTTTTGTTTTGTAGCTCTTGTTTGTAGCTATGTATTTGTAATGTAGATATTTATTTTTTATGACATGAAAGAAATAATGTGGATTAGTTATTTTCAATATTTGGATATTTTAGTTGTTATGTAGTTTATAGTTTATTTTAATAAATATTGGTAAAAAAAGTAAAATAATTTCAAAACTAGATATTTGGATTTGTTTGTCATAGCTTAACATGATAAGACCTGTTTTGGTGGAGTTGGATTGACTCTGGGGGATTTAAGTAAAGCTTGGGCTAAGGTATATGATAAAAAATATAGACATTTCGGCAATTCTAGTTAACTAAGATGGTTTGGGAAGGGAAAATGTGGTATGCATAAGTGTCTTGGGTCATTCCTAGGGCTAGATGATAGCTAACAAGGCTGTTCGAAGGTTTGAATATAGTTAAGACGTTCAACCATTGCTTGGGCTTATAAGCAAGGACATGCCTGCTAATTGGCTGAGCTGGAAAAGCTTCCAAGGAGTTCTAAGAACTTAGGAAATACCTTAGGTTGAGCTAGTTTGGTATCTTTTGTATTTAATTAGGTTATAAGCCTGGTTGGGACAACCTAATTGACCCACTTCAGCTAGCCTAATGGTTGGGCTGCCTAGGGTGAATAAGTTAGGATTTTGGGAGGCTTTGCCTTTGTGCAAAGTTTGGTGAGGTTATTTAGGTTTTGAAAGGTCAAGATCGAAGGAAAGCACGGAGGGTACCCAAGGGGTATTTTGGGCATTTTTGTTAAATCATGGTTAATAAGGGTTAACCATGGGTTAGGAGTTAGTTAAAGTTATTCTTGAATGGGCTTAAACCACTTTGACTCAAGGTCAAGGCCAAATGGTAAGTTTACCTAAGAAACCTAGGCTTATGAAGCTTAAGGGTACTTTGATAATTTATCCTAATCATGATTAAAATGGGTTGACAATGAGTTAAGGGTGTCCCTTCACTCATCTTTGATCATCTTGGCTAAATTCCTAGATCAAATGCATCGGGTTGACCTAAGAAGGCCATGGGTAAGGGTGTAAGGTTATTATGAGAATGTATACTTTTATGGTCAAATGAGTTTACCATGGGTCAAAAATTATCCCTAGTGTCTAAAAGGGTTTAGAGTCATTTAAGATCAATGTCAACCCAAAATCTAGGATTTGGTCCTATGGACATGGGTCTTATAAGGGATTTGGTTAATTTTGAGTTTACGTGGTCAAATATGTTGACCATGGGTAGGCATGGTTATAAATGATCTAAAAATAGAGTATGAACATTTAAAATCTTGTCCATTGGGTTTTGAGTTTTGTCCTAAGAAACCCTTGTAGAATACTCTAGAGCATTTGGTAATTTTTGCCACTTTTGATCATAGGAGTTGACCAATGGTGGAAACATGCTTCAAATGATTCTAAATATGAACGAAAATTAGCTCAAATCAATTCCAAGGGCAAATGGCCAAAATGATTTCACAATAGATCAAACCTCGAGTCTACGCTTTTTTTCAGATAGGTTAGGATGTCATAATTCAATTCTCAAGATAAATTACCATTTTGAGGTTTTTAGGTGATTTTAAGGTATAAAGGTTGACCTTTGTCAAACTTCCTTTGACCAAAGATTAAAGGGGTTGACCAACACTCCTTAACCAATGAGTTAGTCTTGGAATGGGTCCACAAACTCTAGGAGATATAGGGTAAATGGTTACTTAATGTAAGACCTAAGGTATTGGTTTTTTGTTAATTTTAGGTTTTAGGCAAATTTAGGGTTTGACCTAGATTTAACTTAAGGGTTGATTTGGTGAGTATAATACCTATCTAGGGTCATTGTGAAGTGTCTTAAGAGGTGCAAGGGCTTTTAGGACTAGCCAATGCTTAGTATTTAGGTATCCCCATAAAAAGGTGTTGGGGATAATTTCTACACTAATATAGGAAACTTAAGTACTAATAATAGAATCCAAGAAGTTAACCTCATTAAAAAAAAGAGGTCAACAACTAATAGATAATTATACTTAATAAATTTAGTAATTATATTATTCTTGGTATGCCCTTAAGAGCTCTTTATCACAACCCTTTGTTTTCTCACTAATCACTGCATGCATGAGCGAGCAGAAAAAACTTGGATTTCTACATTGCATTAATTGTGAATTGTAATATTAAAAGATTAATTTAGGTAATTTGATATAGTAAAATTTACTTTATATATACATATATAATAGAAAATTTCTCTGTGTATTAAAATAATCATTATAATTTGTAAGATTTTATAAAAATACTAATTTTGAATTTTAGAATGTATGAAAATTGGGTTATACTATTTTGGAGACTTATATTTTCAATAATTCTTGGAAATTAGAAATCTATTCTTTTCGCTAATGTGAAATAAGGAAAAAGAAAAAAAGGATTAAAATATATATTGTGCAGTGGGATAAACAACTATGAGGTATGGTTTAAATACAAGGGAAAGAAAACAATAAGCCAAGATAGTCAATTAAATTGACATTTGTATTAGCAATCTTGGAAATAACTAGATTAGTGCAATAATTATCAAATAAAGGTATGCATTCATAATTGAATAAGTAAATTACACAAGCATAAATAATAATCATGGTACTTTAAACTAAATGAAATATATTTGTAAGTGTGTAATCATTTAATATATTATACTAATCAAATACTAGTTTAATTTCATATAACAAGATACAATTGATCCTCTATTCGAGACGAGGATCTATCTCTCTCAAATCTCTAAACGCCTCTAAAGCTCAAAAACTTAAACATAAGAGAGATCAAATTTGAGCCAATTCAATATGTCCTAACCCTAGGAAAACAAATACTTTTCATAGGCTTAAAAATGTCATATAAGGTTATTTAAGTTTTGACATATTTATAATTCATATGATTGTTACCTACCCCATTGGCCTGTAATAATCAACGATAAGATTTGGATTAGCTCTAACATATATATATAATAACCTTTTTTATTATGCCGCATAAATGGAATATTGAGAATGCCAAAAAAAAAACCATTCTAGTAGTATAGTAAAGTTTTTTAATATAAATTAAATTTACTTGAAAGAGAAAAGGTTAAAAATAATTTTAATAGGATCACTTTAAATCTCGAACTATCAAATATTTTAAATTTATTTTTTTACTCCTCAAATCTAATTCAAAATAAACCCCTGATATACAAAATAACTATTTTAGATAATATTTGTAAAATTTAAGGACTAAATTGAACAGATTGGTACTTTAAACTAAAATGATCTTACACAAAAATATCCAAGAAACATTTGTCTTCGTCTATTTAAAAAAATCTAAATGTGTGAAAAAGCAAAAACCAAATGAAGCCTTTGAATAACTCAAAATAATGTTTTCAACCAATCATATTAAAAATATGTAAATGTACATCTGTTTTTAAACAAACAATAAATAAATAATAAAAAAAAGACAAAATTACAAACTTGTGGGTGCTGAAGGATTACATGCCATCTTTTTCTATATTATTCTTTGGATGTTGGAAAAATTCGCTTTTAGTAACTAAAAGCCACAACACACTCGTTAGTAAAACCCTAAATTAGAACAAAATCAGATCAACTATTGCTGTTGATCGAACATCCTCCCTCTCCGAAATACTCTTTGAAGGAAACCACTTCTCTGCTGTGACTTGAAGCTGCCATCTGAAATGTTTTGAACGAAAGAATGGATATAAGAACAAATGTTTGATATTTTCCGAAGCATTCAATTGCAGCGAAAAGGTTATAGCCTATAGGCTATGGAAACTGAAAATGTTTGAGTTAGATATTCTAATTAAGGTTTCGTTTGGGACTGCTTTTTTGTTATTTTATAAATTATTTTTTGGCAAGAAATTTTTGTACTAGAAAGCCGTATTAGAAAGCAACAAAAAAACTGTCCAGTACGAAGCCTAAATTTTATTATATAATTAATCTTTAAATTATTAAATTTATTTTGAGATGAATACAGAACAACAATAACAACAACATCAAATCTTTATTCCATTATGTGTGGTCAACAACATGAATCATTTTTCACCATTGTGTCCTGTTGTGTCAAATTTTCGCTTAAATCTAATAAAGAAATATCATTTCTAATATTTTCTAACAAAGTCGTTTCAGGTCAATCTCTATCTTTTTAATGGTTGTCAAATCTAATACATCGACTTTCCTAATCGACTTTCCTAATCGGAAATTTTGAGATGAATATAATATATAAAAAATCAATCAAAATTTATATTATAGATAAGTAAATCTAAGAATTTTGATGTTACTAACAAAAAAAAGCTTGGAGGCAAATACGAAGTGAGGAGCTAAGGATCACCTTTCAGCCTTCCGGCCCGGTACAAAGCTTCTTGAGCAAGGGGTCTCCACTGCTCGGCGCAGGAGCAGCTAATGCCCATTCCAACACTTAATCCTCTTAACAGTTGCATTGTTCTTAGGACACTAAATAGCTCTTCAGGGAAGCTCTGCAGTTCCGATGGAAGTTGTAATGTTAGAGCCATGCTTGACACTACAAAGCAACAAGATAACACTGCATTAACCGAATTAAACGGTCAAACAAACAGCTTCTTATATTCATTTGGCCGACAATATTTTCGTCATATTTCTTCTTATCGACTCAGAAAAGAAGCCCGCTCGCACATATGGCATGAGCTCATCCAGCATGTTTGACCATGCATTTAGCAAAGAACAAAACATATCAATTAATGCATAATTTTGGCCTATTATCCCTCACATTTTTATTTGGATAAATATCCCCAACAATTTTTTTTTAACTAAAATACCCATAAATGGATGATAAGTAAATATCGCACTCAATGTATGGAGCAATACAATTTCTAGCACCTCAATGTACATTCTTACATTTCTTGCTTCTTTGGTATGAGATCTTTCAAGTATCTAGATTTCTTCTAACACTAATGGAAAATGATTGTGACAGAGATTTGAAAATATTGTTGAAGGAATTGAATTGAACTGACACCTATGGGCAAGTATTTTTAATGTTTACATGTTTTGTGCATATGTTTAAAATAATTCTTTAATGATTTATAATGATTAAGAGGAAGTTTTATTTTTCTTGTAAAAATTAAGTTATTAAGTCCATTTGATAGAAATATGAACGGAGGGTCAACAGAGAGAAAAATACTTCCGAACTAGGTACAAAAAAAAGTCAATCTCATTATAACCAAGGTTGAAAAAGTTCAAGCCTGTTCTGACCTTTACTCAAATAAGATTTGAATCATGGTTTAAACTTTTAAGAGAAGCGTCTCAACGCAATTTTAAACTTTTAAGCCTCAAAGCCTATGCAATGAGAGCTGGCATTGAGGCATATGCCTCAAGTTCACTAAGGCATGCCTTGCCTCATGTTTTAGAGGCGTCCGCCTCTTAAAATTAAACAAAAAACCTAACCTAATATATATCAATTCGGTTCGGCCCCCCACCCCCGTGCGTCTTCGATCAAGTACCGAGCAATACATGCTTGGTACTGCTCGATACCACTCGGTACAATAATGCGTGGTATCACTAGGTACATGCTCGGTACAGCCAGGTACATGCTCGGTACCATTCGTTATCTTTCCATACAAACGACATGCTCGGTACCGCTAGGTCAAACCCTGATAGGGGGCAGCGCCCCATTGGACCCCTGGTTACCCGGCATATTGTTGTATTCATCATCCTTAATAATAGTTGTTAATGTTAGTCTGCTTCATCATGAGTGCATGATTTGTATAAGTTTTCTTAATGTAGAATAAGTGCAGCATTATTGTTCAAAAATATTTAGTGAAGAGAAGATAACTAATATTGAGAAAGGAGGAGCTGATTGGGCGACAATGGATTCTATAGGAGAGGAGGAAGGGGAGAGAGCAGTTCATCATAATGATGATTCAAATGAAGACCCCCTTAGTGATGACAGTGCTGATGACTTATGAGTTCTTATGTGATATGTCATTACTATTTATTTTTGGAATTACATGTTAATGAAAAAATATTGTGATTTGGGAAAGATAGAATTTGAGTTGAACTATATTTTATATTGTCATATTATTGGGATATTTTGATTTCACTTCATATCTTGTGCCTTTTTAGATTTTATATTTTTTACTCATTAGTATATAAAAAATTTATCATTTTATGTTTACGTAATCTTTTGATTTTGAGGCTTACGCTTCAAAACGCTTTGAGGCTTACGCCTTGCCTCACGATCGAAAAACGCCTCAATACACGATTATGCAATTTTAAACATTGATTTGAACAATGTTCAAATTAATCAAGGTTCGAAGGTTCAAATTTGATTCAAAGCAACAATGGAGCTATAGTGGGGGCTTTGCTGTGATGCCCCGAGATTTAATGGAATGATTAATTCTTAAACTTAAAGTTTAGCTCAACGACAACATAGAATAAATCAGAGCTATCTAAAAATCTAGAAAAATAAATGTAATCTAAACATCATCTAAATTTCATTTCTCAAAACTCATATACAATAATCCAATTTACATGCACACAATACATCAATGGAATTAATATTGGATAACAAAAGAATATGTCAATGTCCTAAACAAGGCGACCCTATTCTTATCTCTCTCTCTCTCTACTCTGTTGGGCCCATCCCCTTTCCTAAAATATTAAATAAATATAATAAAATGAGCACAACTAGCTCAGTAGACTTTTTTCACAATCCCATGACAGATGTCAATACTCATACATAAAATACTAATAGCAATTTATTCAAAATGGAATAAGATATTTTATATTAAAAAAATTATTTTAGGTCCAAAGCCACTATACTAAAATAAAATATTCCATATGCTATCAAATGCTTCAAACCTAAGAGCAGAGCATCGCGACAAAGCCACACAGTGCCATAACACTCCCCAAAATCCCCCACTCAATTAGAGAAGACAATGTCGCTACGCCACCTATCCCAGTGTCGAAATGCTCTAAGGGCATTTTTTATTATTTATAAATTCTTTTTTTTTTCAATACTAAGCCCATTAAGGATTAATTGGACACAACATGACATATAATTGACAATAAAATCATGATTAAGTAAGAATTCATATAAGATCAAGTGGATTACTTGGGTTTAGAAACAACAGGTATTATGACTTCATTTGGGATAGCTTTCTTACTACATTGTAAAGCAACTTCAAAATATAAAAATTACTTAGTTCAAATTTTTTTTTTTACTAAAAAGCAACTTTAGAAAGTTGTCCCAAATGAAGCCTATATCGTCCTCACCTTAAAGAAAATGTCATCCTTGACATTTATAGCACACATAGTAGTCAGAATAGGTCTCAAGATAGCTGCCTCATCTTAGTTTCTTTCTCCCAAACTACTTGTTTTGATTTGTGCTTCCACGACTTTCACTATGGAATTTTGTTTCTTTCCCAACTATTTTACATCACAAGCTAATACTCATTCTGGCTCTTCTTTGTAAGTCAGATTGAGTAGCATTTCAACTTTATCTTTAGAAACTCTCTAACTAAAATCTGATACCCACTTTCTTGACATTGATATGTGAAATATATTATGAATATTTGACATATGACATGGCAAGAATATGTTGTAAGCCAATTTTTCAATTCTTTCAATTACTTCAAAATGTTTTATATACCTAAGACTCAACTTACTGTCTTTTCCAAACCTGCTCATACTCTTCATCGAACCGACCTTTAAAGATACAAAATCAGCAGTTTAAAGTTCAACAGATTTATGCTTACAATCAAAATATATTTTTTGTCTATCCCGAGCTTCTCCTAATCTCTTTTTTATTAATCTGATCTTTTTTGTAGCACTGTCTACCAGCTAAGAACTCAATTTTCTCTCTCTTGTTTCAATCCAGGCCAATGGGATTCTACACATCCCATATGAGACTTCATATGAAGTTATACCAATACTTGTCCGAAAACTATTATTATAAACAAACTTAAACAAATGAATGTGATCTTCCTAGCTTTCTCCAAAATATAGAACATATAGTCCCAATAGATCTTCTAACACTTGAATAACTCTCTCTAATTGCCCATCCGTCTGGAGGTGAAAAAGTAGTACTGAAATACAACATCAATTATATACCTTCTTGAATTTCTTTCCACAGCTTGGAAGTGAATCTGTCATCACGATGAGAGAAAATAACTTTAAGAATTACATGCAACCTAACAATTTCTTCACGCATAGCAACCAACTTATCAACTGAATTTGTCTGCCTCATAGGTAAAAAATGAACAGATTTTATTAGTCTGTCCACAACTACCCATATAGTATCATGGCCTTGCCTAAACCTAAGAAAACCCATAAAAAATCCATAGCGATCACTTCTCACTTCCAGTTAGGTACAATGACAAAAGGAATATAGGAATAAGGAGCGTGAAATAGGAGTGAGCTAAGAGGATGTTTTGAAGGTCAAAGTTATGGAAGTTCCACTGTATCCTAACACTGATTCTCAACTACTTTGCTTATAATAATAGTGGATTTTGTCCTTCAGCAGCAAAGATTCCAATTCCCCAACCTTAAAGTCTTAGGCTCCCCATTGTAGATTATTTTAAATCAGATGTGAAGCAATGACAAAAAAAAAAAGAACGAGAATTATGAGCATAAAATTGCAATGAGCCAATGAGTGCATGTTGAAGATGCAGCTATGGAAGTTTCACTAGATCCTACCATCCCATGCAATAAAATGTGACAAGCAGCAATTTCTAGTCTTAAAAGAAAATCAGAAATCAATCTTTATATGCCGTTCTATAGCGAGTTGGGAAGATGCACCAGGCAGCCTACAAAATTGAAACAACATACCTGGAGAACAATCTTCTTTAGGTAAAATTACTGTTCTTATAGGATGACTTCTTTATTTAGCAAAGTTCAACATAGAGTCTTCTTATAAGAAAATGAGAAAAAAGTTTTTACATGGTCTTCCTCCAGTAAGGGATATTGCACGAGGCAGCCTACAAAGTTGCAATGACATACCTGGACAGAAATCTTCTTTAGGGAAGATTCCTCTGAAAATGGTGATAGTGTTGTTATTCCACCGGGAAGTTTAGTATCAAACATTTTCATGGCCAATTGAAGTAATTCTTCTTCATCATTATCTGAATTTAAAGTTTCTATGCCAAGTTCCCTATATAACACCATTAGAGAAAAATTATAAATCCTTTACAAATGACGCCAAATGAATGATTTACCAACTTCTATGCATAGTGAAAAGAGGAGAATCATTTCTGAGTTCTATTAACAAGCTTGTACGAGCTTCTCACAAATTGGTGCTAAAGAAAGATTTTCAAAATAATAGTTCGAAATCAAGTTCAGACCTGTAACTCTGGGCTGCCTTTGAAGGGTTCTTTTCTGCAATTGCAACAACAAGGTTGGCAAAACCTAATCTTAGGCAATCTGGAAGTTGTTTAACTTGTCCATAGTCAAGTAACGCAACCTTGAAAAATAATGAAACTGATAAGTATGTACAAAGATAATTGAAAAGGTTTTAAAGGCTGATATCAGTATTTTTAAGCAAATGCACATCTCAATAGAATAGATGATTCATGCTTAAATTAAAATGCTCATAAACTTTGAAAAACAAAATTAAAAAAAAAAAAAAACTGAACACAGGTCGGTGCTTCACAATGTGCTTTTATGACTCCATAACCTTTCTACATTGTGCAGAAACCATTGTCAAAGCAACATTCATTGTTCAAAAGGAGCCTTTCCAATTCAATCCACCCAAAAACTTATCAAAAGGTTTGCCATGTCGTGGCTATTGTCTATCATCTTGAAATTCTGCACAAATGCATAATTTTCTCATATATTCCCACAATGTAATTAGTAGAGGAGAAAAAAATGGCTTAGAGGGTGAAATTTACAAGAGCAGTTGTAATACCAAATTTGCATAAAGGTAATAATTAAATTTTAAAATTATAACCTATTTTTTACACGTCCTGAAAATTATTATAAGTTTTTTTTATAAAATTCTACATTTTGAAACAATCATTTTATATAGATGTACATGTAAATAGTGTAATTATATTAAATTATATAATTAGTTTAACTACTACTACAACAACAAGCCATTATCCCACTATGTGGGTCGGCTAAATCAATCATTTTTTTCTCCATTATGTTCTATTAAGAGTCAATTCTCATTTAAATCTAATTAAAAAAAGACATTTTAATACTTTCTAACCAAGTTTTTTTAGATCTACCTCCACCTTTTTTAACATAGGCCGGACCTAATACATCTACTCTACTAACAAAATCAACAGGAGATCAACGTTTGAATGACCAAACCATCTAAAATGACTCTCTTATCTTATTTACCACTAGAACTACTCCAACCTTTTCTTGTATATACTCATTCCTCGTTATGTCTCTAAGTGTAAAGCCACTCATCTACCTAAGCATCCTCATCTTTGGAACACTTAACTTAATTTTATGCTTCTCTTTTAACGGCCAATATTTACGCCACAAAGCATTGCAGGTCTCACCGCCATCTTAAAAAAAATTTCCTTAAATTTGAGGGATACTTTTCTAGCACACAATAGGCCTAATATATTCCTCCTTTTCATCCGTCCAACTTGAATTCTACTAATAATATTCCCATATATTTCACTATCAATTTGAAATATAGACTAGAGATATATAATTAGTTCTACTATTAAATAAATTTCATAACATTTTCATTTAAATTTATGGTACACTCAAGTAATATCATGTAGAAAACTTTGTTTCCCACTAATTGCAGCATGAAATGGAGGATTGTAGATTGGACGACTAGAACTGATTTATACTTAAAAATAATAAATTATAAATACAATTACTTATATAAGTATTAACACAAGCATTTCACTTAATTTCTTTCAAAACTCGTAACTATAGCTGGAGGCTAGGAATTGAGTGGTGCAGGCAATGAGAAGAATAAGGGAATGGAATAAGAGAAGATGAAGTATTTCATTTCTTTCAAATCTCGTAACATAAGCATTGTTGATTCCATAAGTGAAATCTTTTGTTTTGCATTCTCATACCTAAATCGATTTGGAGTCGTAGAATTTAAAGGCTTGACTTGGGATAAATTCTTTGGAGGTAAAAAAGCCATTTTGACATTATTTTGTGTTAGACTAAGCTGTTAATTTAAGAATTGTTATAAATTAGAAAAATTGTTGCTTCTAGGTTATTCATGGAGCATTGAGACACCAGGGTGACAAAAATAATGAAATTCATCATGAGAAGAATCCTATAATTACAGTGAGATGCCAATATCTAATATAAAGAGCAAATTTTTCATAGGTGGCTCATTCCTTATGTCAAGGGCAGCTTGTTATGGGCGTACTTTCTTTTCCTTGTGTGTTGGAAGTGTGAGAGAGAGGTAGGTAATAATGAGAATACTGATAGAGGAACCAAATATAATCAAATCCGATCTCTAGTAGCCTCCCTGAATGATATTGGTTCTATTCCTAACCTCTATTCTTGTTTCCTATTTTCATTTGTACCAAAATAGTTTGAATTTTAATTTTAAGCATGTTCAGTGATTAAATATACTTTTCTAAACCAATTGTGAACTTATTATGTGCATGTTTAAAGAAAAAAATTCTTTGTTGAGAAATGCTATGTTATGTTTCATATTCCATATGCTTTATTTAATTGTATAGTTTGTCACTCACTTTTTAAAATCTAGTGTGATCTACGAACTCGGTGAAGGCGTAGTAGAATCAACAAAGGAATTTGAACAATTGTTAATTAAACCCTAGATATAGGCTAATTTAATATTTGGGATCTTGAGGAGATATTTAAAAAAGCAACAACAGTTAGTATCCCGAAGAGCACGACAAAGGCGAAGAATTACTATTGCTCGGATCCACATTAACTTATTGAAATATGCATTTTTTATTTGCATGAAATCAAGAATATTATTAATTTAAAAATTTTAGATATTTTATAAAAATAAAAATAAAAAAATCCAAAAGAAATGGTAGGGTAGATTTTACTTTTGTCAGTTCAATTTCATTTGGAAAGATATCTTCTAGTGATTTGCAAAATTAGTAATTAGCTTTTCAAATTAGACTTAAATTAATCGTTGAGGGAATGATACTCTACCCATCATTGTATTACTTTGTTGCGACACGTACACTTATGTATACAGTCGTAATCAACATATCCTTCTATAATACTACACAGTCTCATCAAAAGGACATAAATGATATAAATTAAAAACTTTTTATATGTATCAAATTATACATGAAGTTTATTTAGAAGCATTGTTGTCCAATATAACATGATCAAACTTCTTAATTTTATACTAAAACTACATCCCTTTTGGTCAGATGCAGTGATGGGTTTGTAACAGCTTGTCATAATCTCAGTTCTATATTTCCGATTAGGATACAACTTAGCAACAAATTTGTGATCTGTTTTCAGATGTATAAGTAGTAGTGGTCATTGGAGGAGTGGAGTGGGACAATGTTTCAGGCTGAATGATTGCTGTAATTTATTTTGAAATGATTGGAGGAGCACACGCTTTAAAAAAGCATGCATGTCTGTAGGAAATTTTTAAATATTCATACAAAAATATCTACGTATGAATGAATTCATCTATATGGATCAAAGAAGATATACAATCTTACAAATTCTCAACATCATAAACAGATAACTTGCCTTTGAATCCTTGCAGATAAGAATATTTCCTGGATGTGGATCTGCATGGAAAAATCCGCTCTTCAATATCATTTGACCATAAGCAAGTGTTAGATTTTCCAAAATCTTCCTGCATTCATAAATAATATAAATCCATATTACATATGAAAATAAGATTGTAAACCAGAAACCTGGTACACATGACCGAACAAATTAAAGAATTATTGAACATCTAATAAAGTTGAAGAAGAATTATTGAACATGTAATGAAGTTTCTGTTCTTTCAAATTCATAATAATTGACTTATCTTTCCTGCATCTACTGAAGCATGAACCTCCGCATTCTTGAAACACAGTAATTCGTTTCTTAACTTGATCTTTACAACTTTACATGAAGAGAACATGGAAAACTGTCCATCATAAAATCACAATGCCGAGTTTATTTTACTCAACTCTTCATATTATAGAAATATAAGCTTTAAAACCTTAGAGCAAATTACTGTGCAACTCCTCTATCTGACTTAATGTAAATGCACACCAAGCCTTCCTGCTTACGTTGATCATTTGGAAATAGGTATGAATCTCGATTCCATGTTCATATCAAGTTAGTAATTATCCCTTCTCCCAACTTAGATGCAAGGAAATGGAAATTAATGAGATCATGATATGAACATTCACACAACAGTAGCCACTCTATGGTTACGGTTCATTTAATACGTTCATCAAACCTTACTGAAGTTCATAGAATTTCTTCGCATCCTAGCCATATCAACAGAAAATAAACTACAAAGAACTTTAGATACATCATAAAGCATTTTTGCAATTCATATTTCTACTAGAATATAGGACAATCAATCTCTAATGGATGTAATAAATCTAGAGAAACACAATATGTAAATATAAATCTCCACTGGAAAGTATTGGATCAGCTTAGGTCGTGTTAAGACTCTTTACCAAAACTTCGCAGTAGACAAAAAATAACAAATACAATGAATTAAGAGAATATCACGACTTTGTGGGTAACTTGTCAGCCAAACAACAATTAATATAACTAGATTCATATCATGTGAAGTAACTAACAGTAATTACATGCTAAAAGACACTTTTTACCATAATGAACACTGCTTTCTCTCATCAGTGAACTCCGGATTAAATCGCATGCCTAGTGCTAATATGAAAAGAGATAAAATGATCAAACCAAGAATGTATCTGCTGAAGAAAATTAGCTAGATCATTCGTATTAATCATTCTTGTACATCAAATTTAAAGAGCACTTTCCTAAGCTTGATATATCAGTAGTCGAAAGAATTATTTAGTAATTGACCATTGCTGGTGGAATTTTGATATCCTAAATAGATTGAAATATTTTGTAGTTGAATACGACATAGAAAATAATATATTATCCCAAAGAATAAAAAAATTATTTTGCAATGGACTAAATAACAAACTTATATTTTTTATATTTTATTAGAGATTTTCTCCTATCCAATATATTTGATTGGATAGGGTTTATTTTATTTTGGGGTGCAAGTTCCCCATAAGGGCAAAACCTTATGATTAATTACATCTTAAGCATTTGTCTCTTAAGAACATTTTTTATTAAAATAGTGGTTTACGTCTTTTCATCAAAACATTGGCTAACATTTTACATGTTTTTTCTCTTAGAAATTCTTGTCAAAGATTTGGTCTTTGGAAATTTTTAAGATGATTATCAACTTGGAATAATTTTTTTGGAATGGAAGCCAAAGAAAGAAGAGGTAGGAGTACTTGATTTTAAAAAACTCATATGTACTCAAATTATCCTATATTGGGCTTTACTTTTAAAATTAGATTTAGGTTGAAGTTGACCCATTTAATTTAGAAGGTTGGGACTTTTATTCCAACAACACAAGTTAGAGAAAATGCCTCGAAACGTGAGGGCTTACAATGTAAACCATAGATCTAAGATGAGAATTACAGAGAGGTAGTAACTTCAACTAAAATCTATTGGAATGAAATAGAGTTACAAACTTGAAACCTCAGATGGGATTAAATCAACCTGACTCTAGAGCTGCAATCCTACATGAAAAGGATTGTATAATATCCATAAACGAGGTCTCTTCACGTGAAGACAAAAGGGATGATTCGTCGTTTAGGGTTCCTTCTTACAAAGGAAGATGGAGCGAAAGAGGAGTTTGTCAACTCAAATGCCAAGTATTGAAGGAGATGAAGAGAGACGATGTCGTTCAATCTTTCAGTCACAGTCAGCTTCGTCGATTAGAGTCGAAGGAGGAGTTATTTCCATCATATAGAAGACAAAGAGAGGAAGATGAAGCCAATGAGTCGTTTGGTCATTTGGTGAGAAGGGAAGAACGAAGGAGACAAAGATGAAGAAGCTCAAATAGCGTCGATTCCATTGTGGTATTGAGGGAGTTAAAGAAGTTCAGTACGCTCAGTGTTACTGTCAGCTTCATCGGTTGGTGAGGAAGAAGGCAAAGGGATTTCATCTCTATAAATTTGAGAGAAAGAGAAAGGCAATGAGCAAAGGAGATGACACCTGTAAGAGAGCCATCAGATAGGAGTCATGTGCATGCAGGTTAGGGCTCAAGATTTGGCAGCGATTAGGGAGAAGATCGGCACATGCATATTTAGTCTTTATTGCAAGTTAGAGCATGATTTATCTTTCACATACTAAATGATTGATCATTTTGGATTAGATCATAATTAGCATGCTATGGATTTACTTAATTTGGGTAAAGCAAATGTAGCTAATGATCAGGACGGATATATAGTTTAGGGCTATCAATCACGAGCTCTTTGAATTTTTTTTGTTCCAAGATAAAGGTTCATTTGGTTAATTTGGGCTAAACAAATGAAAGAGACCAGGATTTGGATCCTATATCTAAATATAAGGAATATCAGTTATTGATTTTGGCTCAATAGATGAGTCAATATGACTAAAGATTTGGACTTAGAAGTTTCTAATACTCTCTTAAACCCTTTAGAGGTCATTTGAGAACCTCTATGCAAGTTTAAAGAAGCACCAAACAAGAGATCAAATGATAGATCGAGTCAAGTAAAGTTGGGTTCAACTTGACTTAGAACAATCCTAGGATTTATCTAAAGAAAACATCATTGCAAGGACTCCTAAAAGAAAGAGTTCTAATTTTTTTAGAATGATTTGGATTAATTTCAAATAGATGGAGAATATTTATGGATTCAAGAGAGTCCTAGGATTAACTTTGTCAAAATCTAAAGGCTCATGAACTGCTTGGATGAATTTTTTGAATTTTAGGAGTTTGCTTTAAGATTTGAGTTATTCATCATTTGTTCTAATTCTCTAAATTTAGAGAAATATCAAAAGTGAATTCAATTAATTCTACTCTTCACGGGATTTAAAACACAAACCTGAGGGTTCATGTAAGACCCCACAAATTGTTTGTAAGCTTTCCAAATTAAATGAATTCATTTTAAACATTCAACAAATTTAGGAGATATTATAGATGCTAAAAACACAAGTTTCTCGAATCTTTAAGTAAATTTTGTTATAACTATAACTTATGATTTGCTAGGAGAGAGATACATACCATGTGAATTAAAACCTATGTGTCACCGTTCATGTTAGAATCGACTGCAGCAACTAACCTAAGGTTTGATCATAAGAAAAGGCTTGGAACACTATATAAATTTGTAGGGGTCGTTGGATACAACTCCAACAACCCGGAGCACATCACCACTCTCTTTGGGCTCTCACATGAGAGCGAACCGGGGAAAATCAGTGGATTTCCATGGATTTGTGGGAAGGAAAACCAAAATTTTGGATTTGTGAGCGCATAAAATGGAGTTTCTACAAGGACATGGGGCTTGGGAGGATCACACATCCACAAAGGCTTGAAGACCTAGGATTTGCTAAATTTTAGGTATATACCCACCGAACCTAGTGTCCAGTGGCTCCGGCAGTAGCACTTTTATATTGAAGAGATAGAGGCGGCTGAAATACAAACGAGCTCGCTGTCCAAGTAGCTCGAGATGTTGCAAATGTCGTCAACATCACATTCTTGCTTCAGTTGATGTTCTCGATCTTGAAGAAAAGAGCAAACAGGCCACAACTCCCTCCAATCACACACAACAGCTCGGTTATTTGAAAGTCAAAGGAAAGAGGAGAAAACAAATACACGAACACCTTACTCAGCTCTCTAGTTCACAGGGGGTTTCGAATTTCCTAGTCGAATCAATGAATAGGTCCAGGCTTCGGTCCGACCACAGAGATACTCGTGAGAAGCTCCCAGATCCATTCGGTCTTGCTAGGTCGCATGCACAGCGGCCACCTGGCCACTCCCTCCTTCGCACTCGGCTTCTCTGGATGCACGTGAGAGGAGCAGGCTTCGATCCTCTCTGTCCAGGCACGCACGAGACCTGGCTCTCACTCCCTCTCGCTGGGTTTTTCTCTCTGGATGCACACGAGAATAGCTCCCATCCCTGGCGTGCACAAACGAGAAGAAGAAGCTCATCTCCCTGGCTCTCTATTCGATTCGACCCAGCAAGTACGAAGAAGCTGTCTCGTCGTTCGCTCCTCTCACACGCCAGAATGAAAAATCTCGAACCAATCGTCTCATGCTCTCCTTTCTGTTGAGAGCTTAAGCTTCCAACTAAGAGTTCTAGTATTCTGAATTTATGTGTAAGGCTATGCGTATGAGTTTGACTTAAATGACCTAAATGTCCAAAATGAAAAAACGTCTCATCTTTCTCGTCTCTCAGTTTTGTGAAAAGGAATGAAAAAGAATTTGCCCTCGGTTGTTCGCTCTGACCTCTTCCTTGAGTTTTAAGAAAATCACAGTCGTCTGATTAGATTTTCTGCCCATTGAGTTCAAATTGGTGCTGACGACCAGATTAGTGTCGATCAGACTGATTAGGCCCAATTGAGTCTCCGGAGCTCAATTAGGCCCAATTGGACTCGATTTGAGTCGAGTCAACTCAAAAATTGAGTCAACATTTGGGGTTGGTTAATTCAATATAATTCAAACACACCACTACTTATAGAAATAAAGACACATGAATAATTCAAACTACTACAAATTTAATCTCAATATACCCTAGTAAAGAGATAAATCTATAACTAAAAAATTCCTTAAAAAAAATTAATGGTATATATGTCTTTTCATAAAAATTAAATACATTAAAATGATATAAAATGCTAGAAATAATTCAAAAGTTTTGAGGCATTTCTCAAGAAGCATTCTTGGAAACTCGAATCCATCAAATATGCTGCACAGAAACCCAAATATGAGTTCTGTTTTCATAGAAGCAAAATGTGTTAAAATATGAATGTTTCATACTCACTCGCCAAGATTTTCATTTTCAAATGAATGTGATATCTTAATGGCTGTGTTCTCTTTTGTTCAAGACAAGTTTAGTTTCTTTCTTTTCTGATTCGCACTAAAGTTTACAGTGGAAAGTAAATAGCACTGTCATCTACACGATATCTAATTATTGTAAGTTTCACTTCTTTTCTGACTGTGCTACTATCAAATTAGTTTAAAGCCAAACTCTGTTTGGCCACAACTCAGAGTACATGGATGCAGGAATTCTTGCAACAGGAAGAGCTTTCGAAGTTTCAGTCACCAGTAGTTGAAATTAACATAGACTAGAAATAAGAAATAAGCTAAATAAATTTGATAATAAACTGTAAAAACCAGCTCGTGTTGTAGAAAAAGCTATTTAAATGTGAGCAATGTGTGTCGTCAATAATTTTCTTTTCAAACTAATAATTCAAATAAAAATTATGATGATTACGCAAGTTTGAAGAAAGCAAAAGCATAAAGTTGTCCACCAAGATTTCGTTTGAAACAACTTTCTTACTGCTTCCTAATGCAGCTTTTTAGTAGAAAAATATTTAATTCAAGAAATTTTTGTACTTAAAAGTTACTTCAGAAAAAAAACAGTAAGAAAATGATTCCAAACGAAGAATAAGAGATAATAGCTGCTTACTGTTTTGCTGCCGTGGCGAGCTTACCACAAGGATCTATACCTCTTTGAGCAATCGCATCTCCAAGATTCATAATAGGAATTCCATTGATAAACTCCATCACTAAGACCTTCCTAACAACGTTAGGAAAAAATTTCAATTTTCATAAATGGTAGAGATAGAGAAATATGTAGATAACTCTGGAAAAAGGTTATTTCAGTTTGCATTTTCCATCACATGATTCTTTTTTATAAACAAAAAATCATTCATAATAAGATTACAGTTGCATCTTGGACAAAAAGAACAGATTCACGGAGGGCCATCAACAAGAGTACAAAAATTCATCTGATCACCAATTGCATCATTCATTTTTTGTAATACTCCTATATTTTAGGATGTCGATTATTTAACTTTTTCGTCATGCTCTTGTTGCTATTTGATTTGGTTTAGTGTAATTATTTATTTCATCAAATCATTAGTGTTCTTAAGGATGTTTTAGGTGTTTGATTTAAGAACTTTATATTATAAATTGACTATTATAGCAGAACCAAGAAGAGGGGGCAGGGAAAACAAAATATACTACTCTATTTTAAAAAATTGAAGTGGAACATTCATGATAATTGATTCAAGATTCAAGTGCTACCAAATGATGTAATTTTTTTCAAGTATATTACAACGTATTTAATTCAAAAAAATTTCTCAAATCATTCGTCAAATGCAATCAATCATTCAAGACATAGTAAGCTATTATAATAGAAAAATGCAATAATTAAGAAACAACAACAACATCAAGCTTTTATTCCAATACATGGGGTCGGCTACCTGAATATTTTTTTTCTCCATTGTATCCTATTAAGAATCAAATTCTCATTTAAATCTAATAAAAAAATTATTTCTAGCATTTTCTAACCAACTCTTTTTAGGTATACCTCTACCTTTTTTAAAATAGGGCAAATCTAATGTATCTACTCTCCTAACCAGACCATCTAAGTAGACTCTCCTTAATCTTATATGTCAATAGAGCTACTCCAACCTTTTCATGTATATGCTCATTTTGCATTCTATCTCTAAGAGTAAACCCACTCATCCACCTGAGCATCCTCATCTTTACAACACTTAATTTTATGTTTCTCTTTTAATGGCCAACATTCTACGCCATAAAGTATTGCATGTATCATTGCCATCTTATAGAATTTCCCTCAAGTTTGAGGGGCACTTTTCTATCACACAATAGGTCTGATGCATTCCTTCACTTCAACCATTCAACTTGAATTCTACTAATAATATATCATCTATTTCACCATCACATTGGACAATAGACCCGAGACATCTAAAACATGTTATCTAAGTAAAGACTTAATCGCCCAAACTCACAATCATCCTACTAGATCTATTACTACTAAAATTACACTCCATATATTCGGTTTAATCTACTCAAACAAAAACCTTTAGATTTTAAGGTTGACCTCCATAATTCAAGTTTACCTTATCAAGTTTACCTTCAACTCTATCTCTAGTCTTATCAACAAGAAAAATATCATTAACAAAAAGCATACACCAAAGTACATCCTCTTGCAGATGTCTGGTAAGAACATCCGTGAATAAAGCAAAAAGATATGGGCTTAAAGTTGATCCTTGATGTAATTCAACTAAAATAGGAAAACATTTGGTCAAGCCACATTGTGTTTGAACACAAGTAACAACTCATGCATATATATTCTTAATGACTTGATTATAAGCATTATTAACCACTTCCTTTTCTAGAATTCTCCATAACACTGATCTTGGAACTTTATCATAAGTTTTCTCTAAATCAATATATATCATATGTAAATCCTCCTTATTCTCTCTATACTTTTCCATCAAACCTCTCAATAAATGTATAGCTTCCATAGTAGACATACCCGGCATGAATCCAAATTGATTTTGAGAAACATTAGTATCACATCATAACCTATGCTTAATAATTCTCTCCTATAGTTTTAAAGTATGACATATTAACTTAATTACTTTATAATTCGCACACTTTTATGCATCACCTTTATTCTTAAAAATGAAAATCAACACACTCCACTCATCTGGCATATTTTTAGTCTTCAAAATAATATTGAAAAGTTTCGTAAGTCACAAAATTCCTTCATCTCCAAAATATTGAAAAAATAAGTGCATAAAAGAAACAAGAATGAAAACTGATTATCATGATTTGTCCACAACGAGCCTACGACTGCTCACCAAGTCCTCTCAAAATTAGTTCAACTATCCTCTATTTTGCTACTGCAAGATAAAGAAGCATCTCACCATCATAGGTAATGGAGAAACCCTACACGTCTATATAAGAATGAGAAGCAAGTTATTCCTAGCATAACATGCTATGTGATCAAATTCTTACAAAGATACTTTTGAGATCCAAAATCTCTTTCTCAAGACAAATCAAACAAGGCTCAAAAAAAAAAAATTACAATTATGAAGATTGTATGGTGTTAAAAGAAGAATATGAATTTTTGTGGAACTCACTTTTTTCTCTCCCTAGAAACTCACTCTCTAGGGTTTTCAAATAGTGTACACTTTCAACCTTCACTTAAAACACATTAGCTCATACATGCACTAACCTCAATTAGCACATTAGCTAACATTAAATGTAAGCTTAAGCTCATGGGTTAACATAAATATGGTAACTTCGGGTTGTAATTCCCAATTTGGATGATGAATGAGTTCTTTAAAGTCCAATATATTTGATTCATCCTCTCAGCCCAAAAATACGCAAAAAAAAATTATGAAAGGCAAGCTTAAATTTTCACCGAAAAAAAAAATCATATCCCATTTTTCACATATTTCGAAAACATTAAAAAAAATTATAAAATTCTACATTTCTTTTAGAAAATATACACACATCTGAAGTCTTTAATTTACATTATGTACATTTTTTTTATATTTTTCAAAGTGTTGGTGAAATAGATAGGGATATTATTAGTAGAATTCAAGTTGGATGGTTGAACTGGAGAAATGCATCGGGCCTGTTGTGTGATAGAAAAGTGCCCCTCAAATTAAGGTAAAATTCTATAAGATGGTCGTGAGACTTGCAATGCTTTATGGCGCAGAATGTTGGCCATTAAAAAAGAAACATAAAATTAAGTGTTGCAGAGATGAGGATGCTCAAGTAAATGAGTGGCTTTACTCTTAGAGACAGAATTTAAACGAGCATATACGTGAAAATATTGGAGTAGCTCAAGTGGCAGACAAGATTAGAGAGAGCGCCTTAGATGGTTTGGTCACATAAAATGTCGGCCTTCCTATAAACTGGTTAGGAGAGTAGATGCAACACTTAATGATGAGGAATGTGGTAGTTGTGCGGGGGTAGCAAGAGAGAGAAAATCTCTCCTTCCCTCCAATTTTAGAAAGGAGGGTGAATTATTTTCTCTAGGTAGAGAGATAAATGGAATGAGAATGAGGGGGTGTTTGAGGTGGAGAGGGAACTGCATAGATGGAGATATGGTGGGTTTTCTCTCCCTTTTACAGAGAAAATTCTATCTAAGTATAGAGAGAGAAAGTGAAATGGGATTGGACTTTTTCGTGGAGGTGTAGGAGGTGGTAAGAAAAACCAAATCCTAGAAAAATTTCAAGCTTCCATTCTAATCTTTTTCCACATTTTTTTCCGCATAAAGCTCAATCACTTAGGAAAAATTAAAGTTTATACCAGTCATTAACTTATCAAACCCTTGTTTTATGATCCTATCTAGATTCAAACCTGAACCGAGGCCACCAAAAGCAATAATGAACCTAAGAAGGAACCCATTTTAGTGAAATTTTGAAACAGACCTAATTTCAACCGGCCCCATGTAGTTGAAGTCAGATAACTGGCCCAAAGTCCAAACTCTTTCCCTTAGTTGAACAGTACCACCATAATACTTCTTTCACTTCCAATCCTCTGCAGAAATCATTACAAATTGCATACTGGTTGACCACATCCTTGTCCCATTCAACTGTCTGGCAATGAAATCAGCTCTGACTGCTACTGAATGTCAACGTAGACCACTTCCATGAGATAAAATTTTCTGTTACTTCCATCAGCACTCTACTTCCTCCCTCACGAGTCTTACTGAGCAGGTGCTTCACCTAGAGTTTAGCTCTCAATCTTATATATTACATTAAAAAACAAACGTTCAATTGTGCTGGTAGTTGATTCCAAATTGAAAGTCTAAATTGAATTCAACTTGATTGACCAATCTCATGTTATATATAGGACTATGCTTAAAAAGCTCCATTAAAGTTTATTAACACTATTTTTTGCGTTCAACTGTAAATGGCAACATTGTTCTAAGAGAGCGATCGACCAAAATCATTGCAATCATGTGATAAAAACTTAAGCAAGCTGGATTTACTGATATCCTAACATTTTCATGAACAATGTTAACAGAAATGAAATTAGAATCATGTATACATTTGATTTCTAACAAAAGATTAATAAAAATTCATATCATTTTGTATAAGTTTCACTTACTTTTAGTTGCAGCTTTGATATTTAATATTTCTACTTATCCTCTCATTAACATTTCTAATTTGCATATCTCCAACTTTATCTATATATATATATCCCCCTTGTTGGATTTCTCTCTCCTCTGAGTACAATCTCTCTTAGTCCTTTCTCTCTAAACATGATATCTGCTCTGGCTCGCAAATGTCTATCTCTCTTTGAATCTCCAATGACAAGGCAAAGAAAGGATTAAACTAGCTATCACTCAACAAATAGTATCCTAACCAATATATTTCCAATATGTTTACTTTGTAATTACTATTATTAATAGCTTTTGTTGCCATCTCATGATTCCCAAACAATTTGACATAATAACCAACCAGACACACATTTGGGGCAATGAAAAGTAGGACCTGAGAAAACATTCTATGCAATTATTTCGATAAAGATGAAATGGATTAGCATTAATAGATTATGTAAATCTTAATTGCCAGACAAATTTTATTAATGAAAAGGGAACAAACTTTTTCCCGACCCCACGTAGTGGGATAAAGGCTTGATGTTGTTGTTGTTGTTGTTGAACAAACTTTTTCATTCCTCAAGCAAATATGCATATTAAAAAGTATCTAAGTTGTATTTCTTGAACACAGGTAAGCTTCATCTTCAACGATTCAGATACTTGCATGGAGGACAGAACATTTCTCTCGTCATGCAACCAGCATAAAATGAGCATGGTTTTGCGATAATACATGGTTGTTACAATGTTAAACAATGGTTATCATGGTGAATGCACACATGCAAAATTTAAGCCTATCTTCTGAATATTAGTAATTGCAGATTTGCAATAATCTCAAGTCCAGGTAGCTCCACACAGCTCAAAGATATACACCACAATCTTTAAAAAAGCTTTTGCTTCCATAAGCATCTTTCAGTTTATTCAAGAGTAAGCCGATAGAGATTCATAGTCTATATGCTACCACTGAGACGAAGGTAGAATTAAGTATATCATCTTGCCTTAGTTACATCAGCATGAGGACATAAATTCAGCACTTTTCCCACACATGCTTCTAACATTCAAAGATTCTAGTCATATTGCACATACCTGGTTACCATGCCATTAATAACGCGCGGCACAAGAACAGGTGCAGCTCTGTTGTTAGTGCGAAAAAAAATTCTGATTCTTTCCATGGCCTCTGCCTCCCGCCGAAAATCAAATTCATACCGAATCTTTAATAGAATAAACAAGCAGAAAAGGCACATAAGAAAAACAATATAGCCCAAAAAAACAAAATATTAAATAATTTCCAATAAAAAAACATTTTCACTGACAAAATTTTAAAGCCGAATTCTACATAATGATCAAAGAGAACCTTGTTGGATGGGAATATTTTGCATGCAAGCTATGTTCGGCTAAGCAAATCACTTGAGGCTATTTATTTGGTAGTAAAATAAGTGCATTGCATTCTATTTACATGTATTTTAATTTTTTATTGGTTGATCTTAAGTAAATAAAAAATGATGTAAATATTTGCAGTCCTAGGAATACCTCAAATGAGCATTTTTCTCATGACTTCAGAACTTGTTCGATTTGAGGGAGTTTGAAATGGACACCGTTGTGTATTTCCCGTTCTCAAAACGCCCAAGCCCTTCAACTTATCCTTAGCGCTCCACTTCAAGGGCCCCTCCATCCTTCACAGCCACAAGTCGGCATTCGTAGGCCCCTGTCAAAGTTGGGACATCCCCATCGCAATGAAAAAGCCCACTTTTCTCATGGTCACTAGCCCGTTGTGTTTCCCCTTCTCCACGTGCGTCATCGGCCATTGCCTCCACAGCCCTTACACAATCATCAACCATCTTCAACGCCAAATGTTGATTGCATTGACTTCCATCCTTTGTAAAACGGGTTTGTTTGTTTTTTTTCTTAATTCCACCTTTTAGAGAACAACTTTTGTAATTTTTTTTTCATTTCCTACATTACTATAATTTTTTTGTTTACCACTATAATGAGATTCAATACATCAGATATCACAACTCAGCTAGAAAGTTCAAATTAATAAGGCGGGAACAAATGATTAGACAACAACAACAACAACATCAAGCCTTTATCCCACTACGTGGGGTCGGCTACATGAATCCTTTTTCACCATTGTGTCCTATTAAAAGTCAAATTCTCGTTTAAATCTAATAAAGAAAGGTCATTCCTAATATTTTCTAACCAAGTCTTTTTAGGTCTACCCCTACCTTTCTTAACATAAGTCAAATCTAATACCTCTACTCTCCTAACCGGGTCATCGCAAGGCCGCCGTTTTATGTGACCAAACCATCTAAGGCGACTTTCTCTAATCTTATCTTCTACTGGAGCTACTCCAACCTTTTCACGTATATGCTCATTTCGTATCCTATCTCTAAGGGTAAAGCCACTCATCCACCTGAGCATCCTCATCTCTGCCACACTTAACTTAGTATTATGCTTCTCTTTTAAAGGCCAACATTCGGAACAAATGATTAGACAATTAATTAAAATTTTGTTTACTAACTAACTATGTTAAATACACCAAAAAAGAACTAAATTTTCATATGCATTTTAAAAATAAAATACTATAAATATCTTTCTCTTGAAACGTCGCGCCGATACACGTTTTCTCCTATTTCAATCATTAATTATTTTTAAAAAATACCTATATGTGTTTGCAAATATAGGAGTGAGTCGTAACTCAACTCAATGAGTAAGTCATTCTTCTAAATTACAATAATACAGACATTTTTCTCAACCTACATGCTCATTGTAAAATATAAAGTAATTTTATTTAATAATATTTAAAATTTGAAATGACCATCAATCATATCTTATGCATATTTATAATAATTAAATCCTATCATAATATTTTTATAACTAATAAAATCATCACAGGAGACATAGTCTAAATAGTACCAATGAAGGTATTTTCGTTTCCTTTTCCACAACATTTTTCAAAATCTTTTTCATTTTACACATGTGGGTACACTGCATCTCCAACAAGTGCCATAAAGGGGTGTACTTCATTAATCAGTATGCACATATAAGTATTTCTATCTACTCATTTCAATCATATAATATTTATTAACTTAATATAATAGAGTGAAGCATAATATGCCAATTATCATCTATTCCAAGATGACCAATTATTGAACTAGAGAAAGATAAATCATGATTTAACTTCCAATAATAACTAAATAAATGTGTCAATATCCTTCTATGCATTAAATTTAGAAGAAAACAAAATCATAAGAAAAAACATTCTTATAATTAGAGATATGAGTACTCTTCTGAATTTAAATAACTTGTTGATTCGCAAACTTTCTCATTTGAGCACCTATAATTACGTACAATTATCTAAAGTATCTTTATTATCATAAATAATATATCTAATAATATTTATCTTCCTAAATAGCTATCAAATGCTCCAAAATAAGTCTCATCTTCTAAAAAAAATATTAATAATTCATACATTTTCTATTTAGGTATTTAATTTATTACTAAAATTTATTTTATCACTTAACATAATAATAATTTAATTCACTAATAATGATTATATTTATTTCTCTCTCTCTCTCTCTCTCTCTCTCTCTCTAAAAAAGAAAAAAAACCATAATCTAATTCATTTTATTTTTTTATAAATTTGCTTTCTTATGATATTTTCAATTTATTATTACCAAATATTTTTTTCATCATTTATAATCACATTAATAATTTTGTTAGTCATGGATGTTCTGACTGTTGCAAGAGGATGTACCATGGTGTGTGCTTTTTGCTGATGATATTATTCTTGTTGGTAAGACTAGAGAGAATTGAAGATAAATTCGAATTATGAAGGTCAACCTTAGAGTCTAAAGGTTTTCGTTTGAGTAGATCTAAAACCGAATAGATATAGTATAATTTTAGTAGTAATAGATCTAGTAGGGACTTTGAGCGATCAAGTCATTAATAAGTGTACTCGTTTTAGATATCTTATGTCACACCCATTTTGGGCCTCCTTATAATCAATTTGGAGTATAATAGAGAAGGAAAATCCAAACAGACCCCTTCTTACTAATTCTCATTCTGAGCTACTTCTATCATAATCAGATGAGTAAAAAGTACTTTATTTAGACTCTCCTAACATATCAAACTTTATACTTAACAATAAGAAACATGTCATATACCTCAATTAAATCAAATCAAAAGAAATACAGAGCTTTATTAAAACTTCTTTTTAAGTTGAAGGAAAACATGAATTATGGAGGTCAACCTTAGAGTCTAAATATTTTCCTTTGAGTAGATCTAAAACCGAATACTTGAAGTATAATTATAGAAGTAATAGATCTAGTAGGGGGATTGCGACTTTGGGTGATCAAGTCATTATAAAGAGTATATCATGCCTCTTGTGTGATAAGAAAAGAGGCCCTCAAACTTAAGGGAAAATTTTATAAGATGGTGGTGAGGCCTGCAATACTTTATGGCACAAAATAATGGTCGTTAAAAGAGAAGTATAAAATTAAGTTAAGCTTTGTAGAGATGAGGATGCTCAGATGGATAAGTGGTTTTACTCTTAGAGACAGAATGTGAAACAAATATATACGCGAAAAGATTGGAATAGCTCCAGTGGCATATAAGATTAGAGAGAGTCTCCTTAAATTGTTTGGTCACTTAAAACTTCAGCATTCCGATGATCTAGTTAGGAGAGTAGATCTAATAGATCTAAACTATGTTAAGAAAGGCAGAGATAGTCCTAAAAAGAATTAGAAAGTACTAGAAATGACCCTTTTGTTAGCTTTAAATGAGAATTTGACTCTTAATAAGACAATATAGAAAAAGGATTCATGTAGTCGACCCCATACAGTGGGATAAAAGCTAGATGTTGTTGTTGTATTAAATAAACATCTATTTTAAAATATATAAATTCACTTTTTATTTTATGTTTATTATTAACTAGGATTTGAAAACCGGACCGAACATCGAACCGGAAGAAAGAGAGGTTCACGGTTCGACCGGTCGAACCGGGGTCGAACCGGATGACGTAATAAATAATAATATTATTAAAAAATTAATAAGATTGATAAAATAATGAAATATAATAATCATATAATTTCCTATAAATTATTGTTAATTTATATTACATAGTGTAAGTTATTTAAAAACTTAAAACTCTCAATATAAAATCTTAAATATAATTAAATATTTTATTTTGTAAGATAAAAATTTTTGGAGTTGAAAAATTGAAATTTTACAAATTTTTTAACATAAGAGTAATTCATTTGATAAAAAATAATTATTATTAACTAAAAAATAAAATAAATATTTTACTAAAAAACTTTAAAAAATAAATATTATTCAAATCATAAAAATTAATTTTTATATTATAATTTTTACTTGAGCCGCTTAACGAACAAAAATAAAAGGTGTTAGATATGTAAATAGGATGTTATAAAGTGGTATGTATGTAAATTTCCCTTTATTAATTATTTATAATAAAAAAATTTGAACCGGCTGGTTTTAAAAAATCCGGGCCGGTTCACTGGTTGAACCGGCGGTTTTCGCCAAAACCGGCCGGTTTGAAGCGAAGCCGGTTTTCAGGTTGAACCGAACTGGCCGTCAGACCGGTTCACGGTTGAACCGGTCGAACCGGCCGGTCCGGTCCGATTTTTAAAGCACTGATTATTAATTCACAATTTCTTATTATTTTAATTAAAAACACTTAATTTAAAATTGTTGAATCACACATCCAAGGGGGGCCACGTCAACAATCCGCGGGCAGCAATCTATGGGTTGCAGTTGGAGAACCGTGGGATGTTGAATCACATAACCAAGGGGAGGCCATGTCAGCAATCCGTGGGTTGCAGTTGGAGATCCATGGGATATAATTATTATAATTAATTAGATTAAATTTCTTTCTTTTTTCTATTTATTTTCCTAGAATATATATATATATATATGTATGTATGTAATGATTCGAAGGAATATAATATAATTTGAGTTTCCCTTTAAACAATTTTCTCATAATCTAAAAGAATCATCTTATAACACATTATTCTCCTTCTAAAAAAAAACATTAATACCAATTTCTAAAATAAATAGTTTCATTAACAAACCTATACCTCACTTACCGACCCGTCTCTCTCCCTATCGTCGTTGCAGTACCCATCGTTCATCTCCTTTCTCATGCATGAAACCCCTTCTCATGCACGTTCCAGTCGACGCCGCTCAAGCACCTATTCTACCTCGCACATGATGGCAGCAACCGAACCCTGCCCTAGCTTGATGGTTCACTCATAGGTTTCTTCTCCTCATCGACTCACTCGGCACCACTTGCTTCTATTTCCTTCTTTATCTCTCTCAGTTCTCTCATCTCTCGTCAATTTAAAGGATTGAATCCTCCTTTCGCATCCTCGCAACCCAAACGATGGTCGCCTCCTTCGAAACTCCAAACGAAGAAATAAACACATATTTCTCATCTTCATTGACACCAGGTAATGGAAATCAAAAGCTCGTTTGTCTCCCTTCATGACTCCAAACGATAAAATCGGCCCCTCTTCCTTACAAGTTTAGGCATCGAAAATGACAATCGTCAATTTGGGTTATTACATCAGAAATATTCAAGTTGCTCAAATGTTGGATTTTCTGCTTTTCATTGTACATCACACCAATGAAACAAAAAAAATAGTTCACTTGCATTCAATTTAAAGACAGCCAAACAATTCTGAATATTCAAAACACATAATATATTTTAACCTACAATCAAAAAACACTTGGATTCTAAACACTTTCAAATAAACAGCACCTTAGGCTATAAATAAAACTAATCCTTTTTAATTCACAAGCAAGGAAAGGATGGCCGTTTTTATCATGATCAAGTGTATATGAATTTTTAATAGTGATACAAACAAATCAATGTGGTCAAATTTCATCTCGTCTTATTCTCTGCTTTTGGTCAGCATTTTCTTCTTTTTTAGCCTACTCTATCTAATTTCAGTTCTAGAAATTGCTCCAGAAAACAGTTTTAAATTCACCATATAAAATGATTGCAGAATATCCCAAATCTCCAATCTAAGGCTCAATCTTATTTCTAGCAATATAATGCATCGACTTTGTGAAGAAAACTTCCAAAAAACCAATAAGTTAAGCTCAACACAAGCTTTTTCTGGCATGGTCCGGCATTCACTTCACGTAAGAAAATTAGTATGCTAGCAATTCCTGAAAGCATTATCTTTTAGTGGCCTAGGACGTTTTTATGAGCTAAAATTCAATCAAGTTCAAATCTCTAAAAACTATTGATGAGATAATTATTAAGTAAACTTGTATCGCATCTCATTTACAGCCCAAAAGTAGCGCCTTATACCACTTCCCCAGTTCAGAGAATAAGGCAGTTATATATCTTATTGATGATTTATTAGATCTTGCTTATCAAAATCAAACAGTTTAAACTGCTAAAAATAGTTAATTAAGCAAAAAAGACTGCCATTCTAAATAAGAATTATCAAGATGTTCATAAATAAATTAAAACAAAAAACAAAACAAAAAAATCTAAAACCGAGTCTACAATAAACCATCCCCCTCCCCCCACAGTAATATCTGTTTAATTAATCCAAGCCAGAGACATGTCCTTGTACAACTTTTATCATCCTTCCCATTTTTCCTCTAGTTGGTTAAAAGTCATAAAACTAGAGAAGAAAAAAAATGTTTCCTCTAATTGTCCGTGCTCCAGAGACTTAACGATAGTTTTTTTATCAAACGCCCTTCCTACTAGTTGGTTTCTCTTGGCAGGCAAACTTCCGGGTGGAAGTGCATAAACTTTCACAGCGAATTACAACCCTCAATAATAGAACATCATCAGAAATAGCAGGATAACAACCACAAGTTAACTTTTTACACTCAGAAACATAAATATATACCGAATATTAGACATACACAATAACAAAAATAACAAGTACCTGCTTTTCGACTTCCTTCGTAAGAGAAAATAGATCAAAATTGATCTCCTTTTGCAAGAATTTAGCAAAAGCTTGCAAGTTATGGATATCTATCATCATCAGAAGCTCACCACCAGGATGCTGAACCTAAATTAAAAGCAACGAAGCAGCTAGAGCATCAACCACGAATAAGAGAAGGGAACTGACTAGAGGTACTACACCTTGACCGCAACATCAGTATTTGCATTTCTTAATCTTGCGCGATGTACCTACGATTGTAGATGCTGCTGATTTTATAACTCAGAAAAAGATATATTTTAAAATGCTGAGATCAATTAAGAAATAATAAGAATATCCTATAACGGTATAATAGGTTTACCTAGATGATAGAAAACCTTCGAAAGATAAGCCCATATCTTTTTACACCCTAAACATAGAATGCTGTTTTAAGTAAATCTCCATTTAACTAGCTACTAAATAAGTTGGGATCACTGAGTTGTACGATGGGGCCAAGATACAAACCGCATTATCATGAGTGCAGTCAATTGATCAGATTCAATATATTTAAAATTTAAAGCTTTGGCATTTTCATGAGGTCAACAATAGGCCAGATTTTTCTCAGAAGTATAGAATAAATAGCAATTACACAATCCAATACTGAAGAAAAAAGTCTGCAACAAATATGCTAAGTTTGTTGAACAAAAATTTGATTTTAACATGTACAAATAACGCATTCATGGTAAACCAAGGTAATTAAGTCAAGGAGCCAAAACAAAGCAGTCAACACATAACAAATTTGATAGGAACCTTGGTCATGGAGAAATCATACGAAAAATGAATGACTATGTTGGTAAGGAGACCAAGTAAAGGGGTATAACCATTCAGGTCTTCACGAGAAATTGCAAACAATATCTCTTTATCAACCATACTGCTAGGGCCACTTTTTTTTCAAAGAAAAAAACCCCAAATCTCAAAAATTCGACTTAATTTTTTTTCATGGAAACTTTCAGAAAATTGACAACTACCTTAATAGGGAAATTAGGCTATTAGTTTAAATGGTTTGTTATGTAGATAATGCTGATCAAAATGACCAATAGAATGGTTCAATCAAAGCACCAACTTTCGTATTAGGAAGTGGATTTGATTGTTGTACACTAAACCTTCGTACCACTTAGCTTCTTTCTAAGGAGGAAATTGGTGTATATTATTTATTAGGGTTCTCCCTTCTTTATAATAAGAAATTGGATGCAATGTTTTAGGGTAGACCCAAAGGATAAAGACCGTTCTCCATATATAAAGAACCTTCATATTTAATAAAATTATATGATGAAGCCTGAAGGTACTATATGGAAAGTCCAACAACTAGTAGAGTTAATTAAATTCACATTTGGCATTTTACAAAGCTTTGAGAAAAATAATAATATTATTACCTAAGAGAACAAGAGTCCTTTTTATTATCAAGTTCAAGGTTCATCAACTCCGGCGAGTTGGTAGCACTGACAACATCCAAAGCAATCGAACAGCAGATCTTTCTTTCTTACAATTGCCTTCATTTCTACTAGATGAAGGTACTACAGCCGGTTGTCATCAGACATTAGCTCCAGTGAGGTAAAACTCCTAAACTTAGAAAACCTAGGTCTCCCGGCCCTTGTGATTGTGTATGACGATCCCACAAACATTAGATCTTTGTAGAAACTTCATTTGATGCTCTCAAACCTAATAACGCCCATTATCCCCTTCACCAACTCATGAAAATCTGGGATTTCCAATGGGTTGCTCTCATTTGAGCATCCGAAGTGGGAGGCAATGAGTGTCAAGTCATTGGACTCGTGCCCAATGACCTTCCAATGCATGAAATTGCATTCATATTACATCCCAATTCCCAAATCTTCGCCTACAATGAACCGTAGGTTTTTGTAGCCATCAAATCCAAATCCAACGGCTACACACTTAACTAAAGCATGATGCTTAGGACATAGATTAAACAAAATTAATCTAAAAGAAAATGTTGTGGGCCTCACATGCTAGGACTCATGGATTTTCCTAAGCCTTGGTGAATGCCAAAATTTGAGTTTGATTAATTAAGAAAATCCCAAATTATTGTCAAACTTCTCACAAACCCTTAAAGGCCTATATTGCAAATCTCACAAGAGTATAGTTAATTAAATTCACATTTGACATTTTACAAAGCTTTGAGAAAAATAATAATAATAATAATTGATTGAATTTTTAAATTTCCTAAAAATTGTTTATCATCTTAGCACACTTCTAGGATTCTTAGATCAAGTCAAAATTGATCTTAAATTCCTCTCAAGCCATAGATATGATCATTCCTATTTAAATGAATTTAAGACATTCTAAAAAATAAATAGAAATTATCTTCTAAGAGCCCTCCTTCCACATGTATGATGATACTTTAGGGCTCCCTAAAGTTCCAAGCACTTCATAACAAGAACTCTAGGACCCCTTAAGAGCCACCACAAACTTAGAAGTCCCAAACTTAACTTGAGTCAACCCGCCCAGCCTCCCCTGTACTCGATGTTTCCATGAACTCTCACCAAGGTTCTCAAATGACTTCTAAAGAGTTCAAAAGAGCACAAAACGAACCTCAAGAACAAAAATCTAAGCCTCATTAAACTCATTTGTTGAGCCAAATCAACAAATGATATTTACCTTAGCTTCATTTGTTTAACCCAAATTAAGCAAGCAAACCTTCACCCTTGAACCCAAAAAAAGCTCGAGGACCACTTTTATAATTTGTAACCCCAAAGTTACAAATCATATCTTTTTATGGACCCATAAGTCCTAGAAAATTCTCCATATTCCTTAGCCTCAAAGCTATAAGAGTTTATCCAACCCTTAGCCTAAAATTTATAGCTTAGAATTTTTTCTTTTAGCCTAAAAGCTATAAGAATATTCATCCCTTTAGCCTCAAAGCTATAGGTCCTCCTCTCCTCAATTTGCTTGATCCCCAATCAAGTAAGTAAATCCCCTAACCCTTAGCCCAAAATTTACAAATTAAATCACTCTTTTTTCTTTAGCCTAAAAGCTATAGGAACCCATCAACCTTGGCTTCAAAGCTATAGGTTAAATCCATTCTCTCTTCCTTGAACCTCAAAGCCAAGGCTCGCGTATTTGGCCCAATCAAATAGATGATCCCTGTATTTAAACCCAAATTCTAGATTCCCATCACTAAGGCAAAATAGGTGATTTTTTCTATCATTAACACTAAAACTTAAGCTTCTAGATCTCTAACGTCTCTTTCTCTTGAAATTCACATTACCCAATTACGTGAATTTTAGTAAGAACTAAGTAAAACCCTTAGGTATATTTGTTTTGCCCTATTAAGTAAACTTCTCTCTTATCCAAATACAAAAGAATATCTAAAATTCATAAAACACAGCTAGGTTTATTTTTATGAAAAAGCGTATCATTCCACCCTAAAAAGTTGAATACTTATTCCTTTGAATTTTAGGATACCATGAGTGATAGGTTTGGCTCAAAACAAGCAGTGGTCCATAGATTATGTATGCAAGTCAAATTCTCATTTAAATCTCGTTTAAATGTAATAAAAAAATTTATTTTTAATACTTTTTTCAGTCTTTTTAGATATACATCTACCATTTTTAATATAGGTTGGATTTAATATATCTACTCTCTTAACAGGATCATTAGAAGAACAACATTTTATATGACCAAAACCATCTAAGGTGACCATCTCTAATCTTATCTAAACAAGAGCTATTCTAACCTTTTTCACATATATACTCATTTTGTATTCTATCTCTAAGTATAAAGTCACTCATCCACCTAAGCATCTTCATCTCTCTAACACTTAACTTTGTCTCCTGTTAATGACCAATATTCTATGCCATAAAGCATTCCAGGTCTCACCATCATCTTATAAAATTTTCCTCTAGGTTTGAAGGATAATTTTGTATCATACAATAGGCCCAATGCATTCCTCCACTTCAACCAACCAAAATGAACTCTACTAATAATATCCCTGTCAATCACCATCGCTTTGAACAATAAACCCAAGATATCTAAAACGTGCAATTTTTTTAATTACTTGATCACTAAAATTACACTCAATATATTCAATTTTAGATCTACTCAAACAAAAATCTCTAAAATGACCTCATAATTCAAGTTTTTCATCAACTCCCTCTCTAGTCTTATCAATGAGAAGAATATCATCAATAAAAGCATACATGATGGTATATCCTCTTGCAAATATCTAGTAACAACATCCATGACTAAAGCAAAAAAGATATTGGCTTAAAGTTGATCCTTGATATAATCCAACTAAAATAAGAAAATATTTGGTCAAACCACATTGTGTTTGAACAAAAGTAACAGCTTCTATATACATATCCTTAAGAACTTGAACATAAGCATCATTAGCTCTTTTCTTTTCTAAAACTCTCAAGATCACTTCTCCTAGAACTTTATCATATAATTTCTCTAAATCAATAAATATCATATGTAGATCCTCCTTGCTCTTTCTATACTTCTCCATCAAATCCCTCGAAAAATATATAGCTTCCATAATAGACCTACTCAGCCTGAATCCAAACTGATTTTAAGTAACACAAATATCATGCATAACCTATGCTTATTTGTTCACTCCCAAAATTTTAATATATAACATAATAATTTAATTTCTCTATAATTCGCACAATCATGTGCATCAAATTCATTCTTAAAAATAAAAACCAACACTCTACTAATCTGGCATGTTTTTAGCATTCAAAATAATATTAAAAAGTTTAGCAAGCTGAGAAATTTCTTGATCTCCCAAGCATTTACACACTTCTATTGAAATATTGTCAGCTCCTGCTACTTTTACATATTTTATTTTCTTTAATGACTCTCCAACTTTTATTTTACTAATATGATAATAAGAAGAATTTATATTTTTATTTAGCATGCTAAGGTCATTAAAGTCAACCATATTCTTAAAATTTTCATTAAAAAGTTTATTGAAATATCTCATCCACCTATATTGAATATCCTCTTCTAAAAAAGCTCTTTTTGATATTCATCTTTAATACTTATTTGAAATAAATCTTTACTAATACTATCTCTTTGCTTAACTAACTCATACATACATCTTTCGCCTCTCTTCGTATCCAATCTATCATATAAATCACTAAAAGCTAAATTATTATCATACATATTACTTTCCTAGAATCCCTACAGACCGCTCTATATCTATCACAATTTTTCAAGTTTTTATATATAAATCAATTTTTATAACAAAACTTCTTATTTTTTTATCTTTTTTTGCACATTTTGATTCCACCGCCAATTTTTTCATTATTAAGAATTTTTTTATGACTCCAAGCACATGCTTTATAATATTCTTAATATCACTAATTATTTTTTTAAACATAATATTAACTTCCTCAAGAATAACTCAAATCTTAAGACTTAAATCTTACTATAAAAAATATTTTTATTTGTGATCTTTAAATATCACATCATTTTATTTTTCATTTTTTACCAATTCATCTTAAATTCCAAAATTAATAAGCAATGTTGGAAAGATAAACTTTCATTTAGAATACTTTTAGAATCTTTACAATCTAAACGATTTGCTTTCTTATAAAAAAAATATTTAATTTGAGTTTTATAATATACATTCTTATAATTAATGGGATGCTCCTCAATTTTTGTACATAAAGATTTAGCAATTATAAAATCATAAGTTAGAGTAAAATCTAATATTGTTCAACCACTTTCATTAGTCGCTCCAAACCCATAGTCATCATTAATTACTTTTAAAATCTTCTATCACTCTATAATATATCAATTTAAATCTCCTCTAATAAAAACTTTTTTCTTCAAAAGATATCATTTGTATCAATTCTAGTAAGTTACTTTAAGATTTTATTTTTGAATACATATCCAGACTTACTTGAGAAGTATAAACATATATAACATTAATAATCTTAGCATCAACAATAAACTTTAAATCTATAATTTATCTCTAATTTTATTAATTTCTATAACATTATATTTTAAACAATTATTTATAATCACATCTCCATCATTTCTAGTACGACTACCACCTGAATATTAAAGTTTAAATCATGAACTATCAATCTCTTTAGCATTTTGCTCAACACAATTAGTTTCTTGAATACATAAAATATTCATCTTCGTATAAATAATAATATTTATTAATTTCACAAATTTGCCTATAAGTACATATATTCTAAGTTTTTATCCTGATTCTAATTTTATGGACTAGCTTATTTGCCCGCATATGTCCATGTTGTGGAAACCCTTATTTAACATTACACTCGGGCCCCGATGCAACAACCCTTACACACTTTACAGCATATACAGGTCATGCAGCCCTTCACTTTCAGAGAACGTCATAGGATTAAGTCCATTAACACAATATCATATATGATTTATGTCATAATTATTCAACAAATTTTATGTTGGTTGTCTTTAACTAACACAATCCTTCATTTTTTTTATCCAAAGCTTGGGACCTGACAACTGCAATGTTATTCAATAGAGTGCTTAACAAACATAATTTATAATTAAGATCTTAAATAAAATAGTTGTTGCATTCAATTTGAATTGAAATTAAAAAAATAATGGCATCCATAATGCCATACTCAAGTATAAATTAAAATAGTTATTTCAAAATCAAAATTATCTCTTGTACCATTTGAATTTAAAAATAATGGCATGCATGATGTGATAATTTTTAAATGTATTCAAATTCAAATTCAAAACTATCATATAGCAGCCATATATTGGGTCCAAGTGTCATCTCATGGAACCAAGTGGATTAGTTTAGTATATATAAAGATATTCAATTTTAGATTGTGGCGGATTATTTTTTGTGTGAAGTTATTTTAAAGTTATAATAAATTTGTAAACATTGCCCATTGATAGATCGGGCATGGTCTATCCAATAGCATGAAAAAACATCATATCATTAGCCTTATCCAAACTATTTTAGGTATGAATCCTCATTTTCCATTTTGGTGAGTGCTGCAGTAGGTGTAAAATATATACTACACAAATCTTTATGAACAGTTTCTATCCAGGTTAGATTACCCTTTTTTTTTTCATTGTAACCTTTGATCCAAATTTATTTATCAATCTAATTATGCATTTTCTACCAATTCATCGCAAATGTTGAAGCCACCTAGCCTAAACCTTGAAAGAATGCATGAAGCCATAATGTCTAATGCTTTCAAGCCTTAAACCCTTTCCTTCGCTAGAGTATTTATACATGTAACATGTGTGGAAACACAAACAGGGAAGTAAACACTTCCCAGCAGAATGATGATTGTTGCTATATCGTCCCCAACTTTATAGACAAGAAAATCCAGAAAAGTACAAGGAAATCACAGAAAGTTCAAGTGAACAAAAAAAAAGCAATAGTAACCCAACCTTCTCTATAAAAGCTTTAGCTTATATGTAATTCAATTGGATAGAATGTTGACAAACCTGTGCAATTGAAGCAGATCCAACTGGTTCAACATCAAATCGTTCAAAGACTTCATCAAATTTTTTTCCTAATTCCTCCTCAACCACTTGCTGAACTACTTTAAATGGTGTTTCAGGAGCTCTGTCACACAAAGTAACAAGTCTTCTCACCCATGCAGCTGGGGCCAAATCTGGTTTACCAAAGATTTGTGCGGCCTGATAAATATTACATCAATATTATTCTATTGTGAATTGTTTGACGTACTTCGAGCATGAAGAAGCAAGCAGTTAACCGTTCAGCGACAAAAGGCATACTCATTAAAGATAACCCTGATCAGATCATCATAAGATATAGAAGCTTCCTTAATGAAAGAAGAGTACAGATTTATTGTCTTTATTTCTCATGTGCTATAGAAGTAAGACTATATTTTGTTTTATTTATTTTCTCTTGCATGAGAAAGTTAATAGTTATGGTTTCTTTTTATTACTCATATGTGAGAAAATCGAGTATCTTTATAGTCTTTCATACTTTACTAAGCTTCAGCACTACTTCTGTGAAAGAGATCAACAGAGTTAGTATTAGTTTGTTGTCATAGGCCTAAGAAAAAAAATATTAAATGGCTACTTCAACACAGGGAGAATAGCTCAAGGATAAATGGATAGTGAATAAGCCAAGCTAAACCAAACGAAGGCCAAATCATCGAGGTCTAAGGCATCTAACTTATCAAAAACTAGAAGTCCCTATCACTTTGGCACTAGGAAAAAATTGAAGTCCGTATCACTTTGGCACTAGCATGGTTCTCTAAGCCAAGAGAGTTGATCAAAGTGATATAAAAGAATGGTGAAAATAAAAAACAAAAAGATTTTTCTCTCATGTCTTGCTCTGTGTTTTTCTCTCATGTTGCTGTTTTCTATGATCAACCAAACATTGAGCCACCAAACAAAAAACAAGCGAAACAAAGAAGAAGTCCCTCCCTAACTGCATTTTAGGAAAGGGGTCATCAATAGCAACAGTCTATAATTGATGATTCTTCGTGTATAAATGGCCCTCGGCACTCACCATCACGAGATTAGCCGCAACAAGAAAGCTCGCCATTCATAATTGCTCAATGCAAATCTACTCCAGAAACACAAAGCAACCAAAAGAAAACCGCAACCACGTTTCCAAATCGATTACCTTGAGGAAGAAGCCACCAAGCTCGGAACAGAGTAAGTACATCTTCTCAGCGGCGAGCACGTGTTGCCGCTCCCACATGGCCTCTTGCTCGCCGGCATCCCTGACTAACCTTGTTCGGAGTTGGCAAACCTTATAGCCGACATAGATGTCCACAGCCCGCACCCAGAACTGGAGCGAGCGCTCAAAGGGCTTCCACCGATCCGAAAACTTCTCCTTGAGCGACATTCTATCCTTGGAGGCGAAGCAAGGCCTCCCAAAAATAAAAGAGAGCTTCTCTCCAATGCATAACACAAAGCATTGCGGAGCGATCATGTATGGCTGCTAAGTCGGGGGAGAGCAGCGGTCCCTTTATGAGAAAGTGATCATGTTTTTCCCCAAAAACAAAAACAGTGGTTATGTGGATCGGTGGAATGTTTTTTTTTTATTTTAACGAGGGTCTTATAAGGTTGTCGGTTTAGCAAGTATAAAAAATAACCTAAAAATGGAATGATTTGTAATTAGGAATTTTGAATTTATATATCTTAAGATAAAAAAAAAATAGATCAGTATTTTTTTAAAATTAGAAATGATGCCCAAAATTTTTTCAAACACAAAATAATTTGTATAAAAAAAATGAAGCCTCATTCATTCGTTCCACTTCTGTTTTCCCCTCTGCAGTCTTTATTATACCATCGTGCAAATTTTATTTGCTCGAGAGAGATTGCATTGGTGCCTGCAAGTGCCTCCAATGGTTTCAATAAAGTTTTAATATAGTTTGCACAAATATTTTAATAAAGTGGTAAGAATAATGTACGATTATGTCTTCGAGTATAGTTTGATCGTGGATTAAAGAATTTTCTAGCGTTGATCTTCCATTTTTCAAACATAATTCGGTCAATCTTCAAACATGAATGCACGATGATCGAATATGGCTTACTCTGGTGAATGGTAAGGCCTCTCAATTCTTCATGTATTGCGGAGCTAAAAGAAATAACATAAGTCATGAAAAATACAAAAACAACTCCCATATTATGGGGCAAGTACCTCCGATTCAAGGGTTGCTAGTATAATTGCATCATACTTCAATTTATCATCCAGTTAATTACAAGTTAGGTAGCTCTTTGAAAATAGCAAGTTTAATAAAGTATTATATTTCCATGTAATGAAAAAAAAAACATTTAAAGCAAGGTGACGAAATAAGGTAAATAAGTATGATGCATCTATTGCGCTCTGAAAAAAATACTTATGGAGCTTGCAAACTAAGAAATTGGTAAACTCAAGTACGTCAGTGATCATGAGCCTTGAATAAAAACATACTTGTATGTTAGAAGTTAGATTGAAAAATCATTAACAAACTTAATCATGACTCATTAGGCATATACTCAAGGATAATCCCATTGTATATGATCTGAATATGAAGTCAAAGATAGTCATATCATATGAAAGAGGGACCAATAAATTAATTTGTTTTATGAGAAGATTCGGCAGTGTCGAGAGCAAGCTCTCACTTATATAAGAGGACCCTAGTAAAGCATTCTTTCAAAAGTTATCATCTTACTTGATTTTGCTACGCAAAAAATTTTAATATTTTTGATCTTTAGCAGGAGAATGAATGATGTTTCTTGTACATACATTTATGTTTGGGTGTGCATTAAAGGCTTCAAAAGTGTAAGTTTTCAGCATAGATGGAATATTTTTTTAATTCATGGTGCATAGGTATTTTGCCTATCCTTGTGACACAAGATGTGAGTGATCATATTTATCCAATGGAAGTTGATATTAGTGGACTCAAAAAATAATGATACGTGGATGTATTCATAACCAAGCTAAGGGAGTCAATAGGTACATTAAATAATTTGGTATCATTTTTAAATAGACATAATAATATTATTAATACTTTATCAACCTATTTTCGAGGCATGATATGGAGCTTATACTCATCATGTCACATTGACCACCACGCTAAAATTCAAAATCAATAATTATCATGAAGAATATCGATTGACATCTAAGACATACAAAAAAGTCGAGTTCTATAGACACTTCAACAAAAAGGAGTGTAAAGAACCCAACCATAGTATTTTATCTTGAGAATGAAATTGGTTTTAAGTGATGGACTCATACTTTCTTCCCTAAAAGTCAATATATTTCAATGATAATTATCATTTCAGTGAGTTTAAGAGTGTAGTTTCCTTCTTAGTGAATACATTATTAAAGTTCTTTAGGTGCAGATTATAATAGTATTTTTCAATAGACACAACTTTTTATTAAAGATAAAATTTGTTTATTGAAAAAATTAAAAAAGCATAAGGGAAGCTCTTGAATAAGGCTCCAAGCATGATTGTCTATACACAAGCAACCTGTTTAGCCAAATAAAAAAAAATATTTATCCAATAAAAAAATATTTGGGTGGTTTCATATGAAATAAAGATAGATGTTTACTATGATTGGTGAGTATAAGGGTGATCATCTAAAAAAAGTAGAATGCCTTTAACCAAGGGGGAAAAAGCGAGGCAATAAAGGTGTAATCAATGTGGAGTGAAAGATCATAACTACTTTACTTATAAGATCAATTTTTCACATGCATCATAATAATTTTTAGTTTAGTCTTTTTATCATTTTAAGAATATTGTAGCTGGTTAGTAGTGAAATGATGTAAAGGTTGTCATTGTGATATTTTATAATTGGTTAGTTGTGGAATATTGTAGCTGGTTAGTTTACTCATTGTTATATCTATTATCTTTTACATTATATATGTTATGATTCATTCTATAAACCTTGTAGCTTGCTCTATTCAAGGTGTTGGAATGCACTCTATTGTAGCTACCCTAATCAAACTATGCTATAACCCTGGTCAAACCTAATTATAGAAATCTATTATGATTATTGTGTTTCATTTCTTATAATTTGTTTTGTATTATGATTGTTATCTTACTTTTCTTATAATCGGTTTAGAAGACTTGTCAAATACAATCTATTGTGACATAGATGTTGTTATTATACTCCATGTTATATTAGCAATAAAATATAATCCAAAATCAAAAAATGATTAAACATCTTCAAACAATTAACGAACATTAAACGAATACTAATTTATTCAAATTCAAACATGATTCGTATAATTTGAGAAACATAACTAAAGTATCTTTTTGTCATGGCCAAACCTTCTTCAATCCATGATTGAATAATGATTGAACCATCTTCAAACCATAATCCATCTATCATTGAATTATGATTGATGAGCGATTGAATCACCTTATAGCTTGTTCTATACTCTTATAAATCAAAAAGTAATCTTTGACTATGCTCTATTGGGGGTATTTTGTTATAGAGGGAACTTTCAAGCAAATAAGATCAAACTTTCCATGTAATTTAATTTTAGACACGATCTTAATAAATTAGCTAAAATTTAAAATTAGACAAATTTAAATAAAATAAAAATAGCTCGATGTCTAATTGAAATATAAATGAATATATCTCTCAATGCACATATATTTATGCATATATGTAAACTTACTTTATCCAACCTCTTCCACCATAGGGTTGCGGGTACTTGCTAGTTTCACTGAAAAGCATGCTGACACTATTGGTCTAACTACCATGGGAGAAGGGACCACTGCCACAAGTATTGTATTGACCATGGCGAGGCCCTAACGATCAGCTCTATGGCATGTGGAGACTCTTCTAGAATGCCTTTTTATAAGGCGCATGTCATTGAAACTCGAAAAAGAAGCCTTCACCTTACTCAACTCAACCATGATTGTCATACTCAGCTCGACCTCTATCATTTTCTTATTCTTCTTAGTGAATTCTATAGACTACAGCCTCTATTATTTTTCATTTATGAAGGAGAGCTTTTTAGAGGTTTTCATGTGTCAACATTTTTGTAGTAGCAAAGCTTGACTCGGCCATCTCCTATGTGAGCAAGAATAACCAAGCTAAGGCAAAGAAAATGAAGAAGGCCTTACTAGCACCCCTAATTTCTATTTATAGGTAAGGGTAGTATAGAGGTCAAATCAACATCATTATGAGATTCACAAATAATGACACTCTTCTTAATAGTAAAAGTAGGGCAATAAATTTTATTTCTCCTTTGGTGGGAATATTAAATGCTTACCTCCTTAATTCCCTTTTACTTTTCACAAGTCACTCTTCAAAGAAATAAGTGAATCAGGAACTAGCAGTTTTGTCATACATGTCTACGTAAGTAACATGTAGGTATCATATAAGTTCATGCATAAGGAGCATAGTTAGGGAAGCAATCATGCAAAAGAAACCTTACCCCAAAGAACAACCGCTATAATTAGGCTATAAACAAGCATGTATTATTTCAATTAGAGTTCATAGCATACAAGCTTTCTCCAAGAGGATTAGATCCATGATCCTCATATTCCCAACTAGCTTAACCAAAGGACTCACCTCAATAAGTCTTCACCCAAAAAGGCACTCACTTTTGAAGAAATTAGTTTTTTTAGCAACTCTCCTCACTGAGTGCTATCCTCCTTTCATGGTTATCTTCACCCAACCTACAAGAGACACATGTACCTACAGTTCCCATAGTCATAGCTCTATCAGCTATATTTATCCATAGCTCACAACAACACTTGCCCAAAAGACTTGTCACTTACACTGAGGGACTCGCTGATCACCAAGACACTCACTCTTGAGACTTGTTCGAGGTATTCATTAAGGGTTTCTCGAGCCACATTAGAGGAAAATGGCCATGTGCATAACTCCCAACCTTGTCTACATGTTTGTGTCAGTTTATACTTATCAAACAACGTATTATTTCTCTAATTTTCTAGGAGTAGCATTTATTGTAGTCCTCTTAATCCAATAAATAATAGATTAAGAGAAACATTATGCTCTTCATGCCTTTACTATTCACAAAGATGATTTGATCTCCTAACTACTAATTCTTGCTTATTCTCTCATCATGTTCTCTTGCTCCAACTAGCAAATTTGTAAGTAGGGTTAGGTGTTGCCAAAGAATAAATTTGAGTTTAACATTGTATACATTTGTATTCTTTTCGGTTTTTGATATGCGGTAAAGTAAATGCAAAATAATGTGTCATCATCTCTTAAATATCTCAAAAGATATTTTTTTCATGCAAAATAAAATTGCCTTTATAAAATCAACACCTTCATTTATAGCCTTGCTTACAACCCACAATCCACACTTTAAACGAGGGGTGTAACTAAGTCAAATCAACTCATGAATCAGATCGAGCTTAACTTGAAAAAAAAAAAACTCATGAGTCCAGCTCGACGAGTAAACAAACCAAGCTTGAATCAATCCCGAATTCACTAGTCATCTCATGAGTTGACTCATTAAAAAAATCTTAATATATATTATACTTGAACTATATTAAAATTTTAAATTTTAAATATAAAATTATTAAAAATACTTGAAAACTATATCTTTATTCCTTATCTCATGTTATTTCTTATAAATAATCATTCTTTTTCTCATTTTATTACAACAACAATTTAAATCATAATTATTTTTTCTCTTTCATAATAAATGAGTCCTTTTATGAATGGGCTTGAACTCAATAAATTAGTTGAGCTCAAGCTCAATTTGAAACTTAAACTCAACACAAGTCATTTGAAACTACCCTCAACCCAACCTATTATAAGCAAAAATCATACCCCTCACTGCACACACACACACAGAGCTTGCACAGCAGTAAGCAGATAATGAATGAGGATGGGAAAGGAATAGAATGAAGTTGTACTTAAGCTCTCCATTATAATTCAACACAGTATGAGATTCCAGTTTTACATCCAATCAAATAACAAAATTTATTTCGCTCAACTTATAGTACATTCAACTAAACAATTAACTAAAAATGAATTGCACTGTATTTTATTTGGCCTGGTTACAAGCTGGCATCCTCCTTGTCAAGAGAAGAAGAAAGAAAACTCAAAATAAATCCATCAATATCTCCTTCTAAAACAGAATCAGGGTCAGAAACTTCATAGTTTGTTCGGAGATCTTTCACCATCCGGTATGGCTGCAGGTAGGAGAGAGAGATATATAACTGAATAATCACAAAGTCGCTTTCTAAGAACCATGTAGAGAAAAAAATAAAACTTACATGAAGAACATAAGTTCTTATCTGGTTTCCCCAGCTGATATCAGTGAGAGACTCTGTGTGCTCCGCATTCATTTGTGCTTGACGAGCCATCTCAAGTTGATCTAACCGAGACTGAAGAACCGCCATTGCTGCTGCTTTATTTTGGTGCTGGGATCTGCAAGATGAACAGGCTTTGATTGCTTAGATGTGAGTGATAGTGGTAAGAATGGGATGTGTAGCACAGGCCATAGGAAAGTTAGTGCAGTCATTAATGCTAAACATGCCTCACATATGAAACAGTTGTGAAGTTAATTTACATTGAATCAAAATTGTATATATTGTTTGTAAGAATGCACATGCGTATATTTATGGAAGTACTTGTACTTGAATCAATGTATAAATGCGTCTATGCATTTACATGCATGAAGTTATGCATGTATTAGTATTTATACGCATATTAACCTAAGAATTTGCCTTATAAGATTGAAATCACATCGCTTTTTGGACTCAAATCATGATTAGGTAGACGTTGATGAATCATGTCTAGCTTGACTCAACATTAGATCGAGTCAACTTATAATTAGACTTGACTAAACTCAAGATATGTTCAAATGACTTCAAGCCAACCTGGAGTTAAGGTTAGACCAGCTTGAGATCAGATTATTAGCAGATCCTTAATTAAGGCATTTTTGAACCCACCATAGTTATGCAGAAATAATGGACCAGCCATAGATTAGTGCTATGCAGCTTGACCAGCAAGAAGCCAATGATTTATCACATTGTTTAGTTTGTGTTTTTTAGCTATTTAGTTTTTTTTATTTTGAAAACAAAGCACTTTATTTTTGAAATACTCAACAATTTTAGATGTTTTGTAACTGTTTTCAACTTTTTTTAAAACTGAAAATCACCCCCATACTTACCACTGCCATTGCTGCCCACCATCACAATCTCATGCAATATACGTTAAAACAAAATAACATTTACTTGAGATATAAAAAATGATTTAATTTCATATTAGAATAAAAATAAACCAACAAAAATTATAAACAAAAAAAAAGAAAATAGAAAATGATCCCAAATGGCACTTTAGTTCCCAGCTCCCAGCTCCCAGCTCAAATTTGAGTAGCTTTATAACTCCTAAATCGTCTTAGAAGCATCACTCAGTTACGAGGGCACCTATAAGCTTCTTAATTATGCTATACTTCTTTATTAGTAACATTCTACTTGTTCTAATAGCCAATACAATTTATTTGTTGCATGACAAGTATATTATAGCGAACTGCCACAATAGCATGACGTATATGTCCCATTTTTAGATGCATATTCAGCTTTTTTTTTTTTTTCTCTAAGCCAAAACCTCCGGCTGAAATTTCTAAATTGAACATCTTATAATGTATATTATGTGATTTAGCCTTAGATTAGCACTCTTGATGAAGGCATAAATATTTTAAAAATCTTCTTAAGTGTGTTAGGAAGTATATTTAGACTTTTTTTTAAATTGAAGATTAAGTGGAGATAAGGATTTTGTATTAGAGATTAAGTGGAGTTAGTAAGTGTATTTAGACTTTTTTTTATATATTGGAGATTAAATGGTGTTGAGGATTTTGGAAATCTTCTCAAGTGTGTTAGTAAGTGTATTTGGACTTTTTTTATATTAAGTGGAGTTAAGGCTTCAATATTTTCAAAATCTTTTGAAGTTCTGGCCAGCCTTATGTAAAACTAGCATAACTTACGAGCTGCTTCAAAAGGAATTGGAGTTTTGATGGGGACATCAGAGCATGGAAAGTATATCAAAGGTGTTGCCGTCGATCTACGGCCACGATCGAGTCGATGTATTTTTAAGTCATTCCATGTATTTGTTTTATTATTTATGTTGTATTTATTTTTCCTGTTTTACTCCTTAAGGGAGGTAGTATGTAAGCCCTGAGGGCATCGTCGTCTTTTTATTGTCTTGAGCCTTTGTACGAGGCTATATACAACCCCATTGTTCTCTTTTCATGTTAAGGAATGACTGAATAAAAAATTTTCTGCGTTTTGATTTCTTGCAAGAGCGAGAGAGGTTTGGAGAGAGATCCCTTGGAGAGGGAAGCGTATCACCCACCAACCTTAGAGATGGTCGGGTTTGTGGTTCTTCGTCGTTATTTTATTACTTTCTTTCCCTCATCCCCTAACAGCCGGCCAACAATCTTCCTAGACCCATCTCCTAAGCCGCCGGCCACTACACCCTCCACCATCACCCGCCGCCAAGACCCCAACCTCCATATTCACCCACGAAAACTCCTCATCGCTGGCCACCCTTCGCTCCTCCCCCATCTACACCAGCCCCACAACCTTCCTAAAATAGGTTTCATAATTTTGGTAACTCTCTTCATGATCAAATTCAAATTAATTTGAATTTGAAGGAGTTACCTAATTTGCAAAATCCTATTTTATGAAACTTACTAAATTGATTCATATTTAAATTTTAAATTAAGAGGGGATTAGATATTTCTTTCCACACTTAATTTATTAATTTAAGTAGGCATTAAATTCCTCAAATACCGCCGGCCCTCTTTCTTATCCGCACCCTCTCTCTCTTCCAAATTTCCCTCCCCCACATTAAATCCTTTCCCCTTTGCATCCTAAGCAAGGTTCTCCACAAAGATTTTGACAAGGGATTTCCTTCATCCTTTCTCCAACATTTGAAAGATTGAAAGAATGTTTTCCTTTCAAGAAGAAATTCTTGAGGAAGACAAAAGAAAAAGAGATGTCGTCTACAACACATCCATCCTTCGACGTGATGCATAGCCGATCCAGATCTTGATTACGGCATTACCTACGACGAACAAGGGTTTGTTAACATCCTTCACTCCACCTTCTTCGACGTCAATCCTAATATTGACAACACCATCGAGGAGTACGCGGAGCGCATTCTAGATACCCTTGTCGAAACTGTAGAGGAGCAACTTGGTACCGTTCAGTGGAGGATTACATCCAATCTGTGATAAAGGTTTGTCAATCTTCCTAATCTCGTGCTTTTGTAGTTTAACCCACTTTTGTGATTTGATTGGAATCATGAAGGTCTGGTTCACCAATCTCTGCCAAGCCTAGTAAGCCAAGGCAATTTATTTAATATAAAGTGTTTCATAACTTTGTAAGAGTTTTAAGTGGATTTAATAAGGCTAATCCCATAAAAATACCCCTCATCTCTGCTTACACGTATAAGGCACCTAAATTGACTCAAATCGTTATTCAACGAACATCGAATTCTAAGATCTTTTCGGACTCCTCTAAAATTGTTAAGTCACTATGTACCTCAATGTCTTCCCTAAAAATTTTTTATTGCTCATCAGTCATCCATTTTCTAAGCATAGATATATAAAATACATTGTGTATATCAGACATATTTGTAGGTAACTCCAAATGATAGACAGCCTTCTCAATTCTTTCAATGATTTCAAATGGCCCAATATATCTTGGATTTAATTTTCCTCCTTGATCAAATCTGTAAATACCCCTCATAGGTCTAACCTTCAAAAACACAAATTCTCTAGATTCAAACTCAACCCTTCTATGTTTGGGATCGTAGTACTTTTACTGACATTCTTGTGATGCCTTCAAACTATCATTGATTAATTTGATTTTCTCGGTGGCTTGATTCACCAATTGTGGCCCTAATAATTGTCTTTCCTCAACTTCAACTTGGAAAATTTTCATGAGGAATGATTTAATGAGTTCATGAACAGGTCCAAGCTCCAAATCCCAAGCACCAATGGCCTTGCCTTCGTCCAACGGAAAACTTGTGAAAAAAAAATTCTGGTAACTGTCACCTGTTTAAAGAGCCATTGGACCCACTTTTTCTTTTGGGCTCAAGTTATGTCTCATAACTCCAGCTCCTATAGTGTTCTGTCCTAAAAATTTTCCTAACCTTCGTTGTTTTTTTTGGTTCAAGTTATGTTCTTTCCAGTTAACTTCAATCTCTCCGAATTGAAAGGCGCATCTAATTTCTACAGTCAGATCAATTAAGGCTGCTGCAATAGACATGCAATGAAGAATAACAAAAATACCCAGTTAATTAAAAAAATTAGTCGTCTGGCATACAGGCATGTTTTTAGAGGACAACAATTTTTTTATTTGCCTAGCATACAGAGCTTCCGGTTTTAAATATTAAAAAAAAAATGCATTTTTTTCAAATTTGTTTTTTTAATATACTGCTCAAATTATTAAAAAATTAAAGCAACTCAACAGGCAAATTATCAAGGGTGAACTCTCTGAAGTTATAGTAATACAGATGCAATAAATTTCATGATGAACCACAGAAATTAACATCCTGCTGACATAATCAGAAATAACAAAACTAATCATTATTAGTGCTGCTATGGAACACATACCAAGACGGACAGAAGGCACGGAGAAGATTGCCACTACCTTTCATTCTGGCATGTAGCAGATATTCCTGTAGGAATGTGTACTATTCTGACGGCACTCTCAGTCGTATTAACATGCTGGCCACCTGCACCACTGGCACGAAACCTTTCGATGCGAAGATCTGATTCCTTAATTTGAAAACGGGATGGTCCATCGTTTAGGATTGGTATTACAGCTACAGCAGCAAAAGAAGTATGGCGACGCTTCCCAGTATCAAATGGGGAGATCCGTACCAATCTATGCACCCCAACTTCGGCTTTTGCATAACCAAATGAAAATTCACCATCTACTTTGATTGTTGCACGCTGAAAGAAGAGAAAAAGTTATTAGAAACCTAATACTTCGATTCAAATTCAGTTACTCGTGTCTCGAAGAAGTCACTATGCAAAGGAATAAAAAGTACGAACAAGAACCTTGATTCCTGCTATCTCACCATGCATTTCATCCACAACCATAACCTCATATCCATGGCGTTTAGCCCAACTAACGTACATGTTCAGAACCATGGAAGCCCAATCCATGCTTTCCGTACCGCCGGCTCCAGCTTGAACCTGAATGATATGATAAACTTCTTCAGATGTTAAACTGGATAACACGAGAGCAATTCTTGAAGTAAAAATATGAAGACAAGAATATTACGTAGGGAAGAATTCAGTTTTGCACAGTATCTTCCAAAAGAAATATGGGATTCAAAAACAAATGCTATTGATAAATATAATAGTAACTAATATAGACCAGAATCAGTGGCATGAATATCAAACAGGGATCTCAAAAAAGGTAAATCAGAAATCCAACAAATAGTTCAAATAAGAAAATCCAGATTCCTCTAAACCTGTGAATGAAGTTGTTTTTTTTTTTTTATAAACAGGCCCTCTTACTTCTTAAGTCCATCTTACCCAATATGCACTAGTAACCCAGCCAGTGCCATGTTGTTAGCCATCATTTTGGGGATGCTGAAAGGTTAGTTACCGCTGTTTGCTACTACCAACAAAAAAATTCCCATGAAGACATCAGAAGGAGAAAGTCATTGAATCTTCCTTCCATCGTGCATACAGCCCTCTGATTATCACTAGAGGCCTTCCCTCAGCCCACCACCAAGCAATCTGGGCACACTTATCAAACTTAGCGACGTTTAATAACCTATTTTTGGCAGGATTTAAGAAAAATTTAGCTTAAATCAAGCAAAATAGTATTTTAGAAACTTTAAATCCTATTGTTTGTATACCATTTAAATACTGTTATTAGTTAAATCCAATATTTGTTGAATCCCACCATTCAGATGATTTAAACAATTTAATGATGTCTCTCTCATACAAATCTTAAATCTCGAAACAAATAACCAAACAGTTATCAGAATTTAGCAAGCTTTAATGCTATCATGCCCTCAATATTTAAATCTAGATGTACAGGATTTATTAAATCCTACTTCTAGCTAACCAGCCCCTTATGGTGGCCTCCAATCACAACTACCAAGCATTCCTAGCATATCTCGAACAATGCTAGCCTTCCTGCACCAAGGATGTTTGATTGAAAAAAGGATGGCCTGACGATGACATAGGCGACGCCTAGTGGTTTTGAGACAACCTGTTTATGCCCTTCAGTTGTGTAGGGGGAGGAGGTCCCTCTCCATCTCATCACCATAATTCTTGATCTCAAACATCCTCCATCATCGCCACTGGTAATGACCCTCTTTAGTGGCTAGGGCTTACTCCAACTAAACTAATTGAAGATCAAATGAATCAGCCAGTCGTGATCTGCTGTGGTTACATTTAAAAAAAATTGGTCCAATTGGTTCAGCTGTAGAAATCCTAGACCACATCAATTAATATTTTGATATGTGTCGAACATCAAATCCATCATGAATTTCAAGCACTATTTGACAGTGTACCGACGCTCTGAATGAGTCAAGGGTATTTGCTACCAACACAGTCTTCCTAAATGTGAATGTGGATGGTCCTAAAGAAATTGTTGGATCATAAGGAAAGTTACCCAAAAATGTTGAGGGTTGGTTTGGTCAATTAACTTCCTAACCTTATCAAGTCAAAGGTGTCTTAACCAAATCAATCAAATTGAAACCTTCAAAAATTCTTTCAAGTGTTTCTATGCAAACCTCAATCCTTATGAATATAGGTAGGGAGCAACATACCATTCGTCACATCCCATCTTAAATCCTCCACAGATCATATGATATAATTCGTAAGGGGCATGATGTAATTATACAACATAGAGCGTGCTTATAATAATATTATAGTATATTTCTATAGTGTTTAATTGGTACATGGTAGGTCTCCTAAAATTAACCTTAGATATATAATTTTAGAACTAAAACATTCCACAAATTAAAAAAAAAAAAAGAAAAATTTAAAAAAAAAAAAAAAAAAAATTGTGGAAAAGTTTTGAGCCAAAACCATGAAACATTTGATAATTATTAGGGGTGTAAACGAGTCAAGTCAAGTCAAGTCAAATATCTACCTAATCATGTTTAATTCTTGCTGAGCTCAAGCTCGGTTCGTTCGAAAATTATCAGGCTCAAGCTCGACTCATTTACTCGATCTCGTTAAGAAAGCTAGAGCATGACTCGTGAAATAATTAAAAATATTTAGTATTTATTTTATTATATTATTTTAAAATTAGATTTTAAATACATTCTAATTTAAACGAGCGGCTCAACAAGCTTATGAGCTAAGCCTAGCTAAGCTCGAGCTTGTATAATATGCGAGCTCGACTATAGGCTCAATAAGCACGACTCGTGAGCACATTAACAAGTCGAGTTCGAGTTGACTTGACTCACTTACACCCCTATGCATGATACATAGAATACACAATCCTCATATATGATACACATGATACAATATACTAATACATGAGTTGTACATATGATATATGATAAACACATCAACATGACATCACATGCATAGCAATAAACATATTGATATACATGACTTTAATATAGAAATAGTATCTAGATATTGATGATATATTGAAAAATGATGGATTAAGATAATTGATAGAATAAAATTGTTTGCATTGATTCACATGATATCCCTTCCTATAGTATTTACATGATATGCAGGGTATAGGATTGAGACACGAATTGTTGATCCATTTTCTAATTAATGTTCCTACTTATCACTACCGCTCATTTTAATACATTGATGCTCATATGAATCGATATTGTTAATACTGACTGGTACATGTTTACAATGATATGATATGAATGATTACATGCATGTTGTTTTTGTCTCGTGCATTAAATACAGTTGTAGGATCTAGCAAATTGCTGAGCAGTTAGCACATCCTGTGATGGCCTTTCCTTGAATACAAAGGGCAGATAAGCTAATATTCTATAACAATGGGGTGAGAATGAAACCATAAAGTTATAACCATTTACTTGGTTCTATATAGAATGAAAATTTGCTCTATGCTGTTTGATGGTGATCTGCCAACTACAAAGATGGTAGAAGCTTTTAAGATCAATAGGCAATGATATCAAGTGATGACAGTGGCTTGGAGGATGGCTTAATATTTATAGGCCTATGCAATCCCCTATGTAATAAGTTCTGAGCAAACTTCTCCCTTTAATAGTAAGGGATAGTCAAATAATTATACATAACAAATCAAGAAGATAGCCAAGGTGAGGCTGTCGGGAGATAAAACAAAATGTTTTACTTAAATCAAAATACTTAATATTAATCTATATCAATAGTCATTTAGATATTTTATTTAATTTTAATGTTTCAATTATAGATATAAAATAAAAACAAATTTTAATTTAATATTCTTTATCTTTCTGCATTAGATTTTATATTTCATATAAGATTATTTGATATAGAAGTTACGATAAATAGATGGTGTCGAACAATGACTAAAACCCATGCAACTTATTTTAAACTGATTGAAGAATACCCTTTATGATTTAGCTTATTATGCTTAAAATAAATAAATTAATATAAATGGAGAGAGAGAAACAAAGAGAGAGATAGGGAGGGAGATAAAGAGAAACAGAGACACAGAGACACAGAGAGAGCCACAAGGACGAGTAAGAGAGAGATGAGGAGATATTATTTTTTATGTAATGTTATATGAATATTATTTTTATATAATATTATTTAAATATTATTTTTAATTATTATTTACATATTATTTAAATATTAGTAATTTAATTTATTAAAAAATTATTTAAAATTTGTTAAATTTTTAATAAAATATTATTTTTATATAATATTGCATATATTAAATGATCTAAAAATTTTAAATTAAAATAAAATTATGTATAATCATTTATTTTAATTAATTTTTTAACAATTATTTAATAAATTAAATTATTAATATTTAAAATAATATTTAAATAATAGTTAAAAATAATATTTAAATAAGATTATATAAAAATAATATTCATATAACATTATATTAAAAAAAATCTCCTCATCTCTTCCTCCCCATCTCTCTTGTCCCTGTGGCTCTCTCTCCCTCTCCCCATTTCTCTTTCTCTCTCTCTCTCAATTTCTCTCTCCTTTTCTCTTTCTCTCCATTTATATTATTTTATATATTTTAAATTGAATACGCTAAATCATAAAAGATATTCATATTAAATCAAATAATTTGGCGTATTTAAAATGCACCAAAACATTTGACGATTTTGCTCTTTTTTTAAATTATTTTTTAAGTATGCTCCCTTAAGCTAATTTTAATTTTAAGAAATAATGAGCTCCTTAAAATTTGGCGTGTATATATATATATATATATATATATTGAGGCCGATATGTTACATTATTCATTCTAGAATCACCCCTTTAATTTTTCCCTGAGCTCATCTCTCTTCTATGAGAGCACTATTCTAAATTTGACATCAAAGGGACCACCAAGGACTACCCGGAGCAGGACTCACTCCTTGCCTTTGGTTGATTTGTATGTAACACATTGGTTGAGTTTAACAGGAATCTTGGAGACTTCTCCAGCAGAGACATCTCTGGTAGACAACAGTACTAAAAAAAAACTAGTTCCATGTAATACATGTAGATCATATCAAAGCTATCAACAAAACATAAGAGAAATAGCCAAATGACAAATCTAGATAATCTAGACGCTTATTTAGTTACCTGTAGCTGATTTTCAAAGGAAACAACAATCTATTGGAACAACTGCAATAGTAAGAAGTGTAGAAAGTAGACAACAGAGTTGCTTAAGTAAAAGAAAATAGCTAACAAAACAAAAGAATCAAGGTGTTCAAATGAAAGACCATGAGAAAGGAAATGGATGTCAGACAATAATTCAGAATTTGTAGCAAGATACAAAAATATATATAATTCTGCTACACGACGCTACTAACCTCGATATAGCAAGAGCAGGGATCATTCTCCCCAGATAATAAAGCCTCGAGTTCTTTCTCCTTTGCTTTTCTTCTCATATTGAGCAATTCACTCATATATTCCTTCACAAATCAATAGAGAAGACGAAGCTTATCATCGTTGCACATGAAAAGAGAGTGCAGAATGAAAGGAAAAAAAAACAGACAAACAGACAAACAAACAAACAAACAACATATGCCAAACTAAAGCTTCAATAACCCAGGAAAATATGGATGAAGGAACAAAAATGAACGAATTCAAAATTTATTCTACAACTCTGATATGCAAATAGCAAAAGAAAGAAATATTTTCTCAAAATAAACTAAACCTTTTTAGGAGATTCTAGTGGATGAGGTACAAGAAAAAACCAGATTGCGATCAAAACATATCTCAAAGGCCAAGGAAAGATGAGTGTATTAACGCCTAATCTAATGTTTTTCATAAAAGGATCATCACAAAAGTAGAAACACTAAATGCAGCGCTTGTAAAGAATGGATGGTGAATAAGGCATACATAACCAATCCCAAAAAGTTATAGTACAATGCCGATGATCACAAAACAGTGCTAAAAGACCCCTTGAAGAAGGAATCTTGTGATGAAAATTCAAATTTTACATGGATAAACATGTCTTTAAGGAATAAGTATCTTAGGACGCATAAATAACTAGAAGAAATGGGACGCTGAAACTTGATATTAGAATTTGTTTGTCAGATAGCCCATGAAAATCATGTATGTACTACAGTAGAAAGGTAAAATGCAGCCAATATATAATATTTTATCTAAAATAAACATTTAAAGACAACTGAGGATTATAATCACATAAACTGTAGTGCATGTTTGGATAACGAGGAAAATCCACCAAGTTAATGAATGAGGCGTTGGGTAAAATAAATATTCATTAAATAAGGGAATATTTCTATCATAAAGAGATAAAACAAAAGAGACAGATTTTCGAACATACTTCCCACCAGGCCAATAGCAACAATTGGAATTTAAAAAGAATATATAAATATCTAAAAGTGGTAGCCTACCAATTCCAATTGATTATCATGTTCTTCACGTGCTAGTTTAAGCAAATCAATAAACTCAAGAAGCTCTTGCTCAAATCCATTAACTTCTCTCATCTTGCTCATTAGCCCCCCATGCTCACGGCTAATTCTGGATGCATAAGTAGGATCATCCCAAAGATCTGGCTTGTCTAATGCCACAGACAGCTGCTCTAACCTGATCATCATCTTTTTCCACTGCCAATAGATAAAGTATTGATTTCATGCCCAAATATAGCACAAATGATAACTAAATACTCAAAGGAACAAATGTGCATAGGTATGCTTGTGCACTTTGAAAGTTACAAGAAGTATTTCAGAGCACTATTATTATTGAACAATAAAAAATATTAAAATGAAGAAAATATCCATAAAACAATTAGCATCCACTGAACCAAGAAAATATAGCCATCCATTAGATGATAGTCATAAAACTAACACTATAATCCTTTTGTGCTTCTCATAAGAAAGAAAGATCATCAGTGCACCGGGTTAAAAAGTAAAACAAGCACATGCAATATAATAAGTACAGGCAATAATGATGGAATTTACAGAAAGTGAAAACTTTTAATAGGTCAGGCATAAAATTGTAGTAAAGAAAAAAGGCCATGCAAGTAAATAGCACGTACAACCACTGTGAAGAATGTTATGAATTTAAAATAGATTTATCTGTTATTAATGGTGATAAGATAGGTAATTGCACAAACTGTCTACATTGAGATAATATAAGTGACATCATCTTCAAATCAGATACTTGACACCAATGTACAGTTTTATAAATTCACGGTTATTGCAAAGGCCATAAACAATACGCTTAAAACTAGAAAGGCATTCCATGTTCACTTTCAAAAATGGTCATCATCTTACAGTTGGTTATAGTTTGGATCCTTGATTGTTATACAGAAGATAATCAGTAAAATTACAGTTTTATATTTGCATTTCATGAGCCAGGAATTGTAACACCATTCTAGCATGAACGACACAAGTGCTGTCAAAGGCCTCGAGAGAAGTTCTAAGCAAATTTTTATATCTACATTTCTAAATCCAAGCATTACAAGTTGTGTAAGAAATAGTAGTCAAGCACGGTCCAATGATGTCTTTCAGAAATTAAATAGAATTCTTCCAAATGCAAATTCTGATATCATTCACATATGCTTCTTTTTAGGCTGCAAAAAACAACTTCAGGTCCTTTTAACATAAAACAATTGTCCATAGAATGAGATTCCCCAACTATCTTGTAAAATCTTAAAATTTCATAGTTCATATATAAATTGCTAAAAATTAGGATACAAAATTAAACCCACTTTAGTCTCTTATACAAGATTGATGTTAATTTAGCACCTGAGATACCATTTAGGATCAATTTTATATAATTAAGGGAGGATGCAGAAAAATAAGATTTTAAGACTAAATTGGCTACATATGAATATTCAGGAGACCATTTTGAGCTTTTTCAACAAAGCTTATATAGTTATATCTAAGGGACGTCTAGTTGGATGTTTTTAAAATGCTTGTATTTTAGAAATGCAAAGTAATCCGAATGCATGAATTTTAGAAAGACATGAGTTGTTTGGTTGGAAGCAAATCAAATAAATTGAAATAATGTTGTGCTGTTATGGTACATTTTACATGCATTAAAATACAGCGAACAACAATGGGTTGTAGCTGAGTTCAACTAGCAACAGTGAAGGCAGCGAGCAAATGTTGACAATGGCGTGCAATATCAACAAGTAGCGAGCAACATCCATGGGCAATGAAGGTGGGCCACACGCTATGAGTTTTCCTTATATTTGGAACTCTTTCGAATTGTATAAATTCTCAATTTCTAAATTCATCAAAAATAGGTATCATGTGAAAATTCCAAATCCCTAAAATAAATGCTTCGTGTTTCATTTGCTTAAAACCAAATATCAGAAAAATCAAACTGCATTTCTTTAATTTATAATTCAAGTACTTACATTCAAATAGCCCCTCATAAAAAAATGATAGCATTTGTGTTGCTCGCCAATTTCTTTAAAAGATGTTTAAGTTCTCTATAATCCTATTTAAAATGTGAATAAAACATAGAGAAACCAAAAAAATAACAATAAATGCATCAAAAAGATAAGTTCATACCCTGTATTCCGCCAGATCAACTCATGCATATTGACAGGAAATAACCACCTTTGAAAAATACTTTTAACATTTATCTACCTCAAACTATGCTTTTTGTTGAGCTTTAATCCATGAATATGGTCTAACTAACCGGTATTTGGGTAAGTTTTATTTAGAGGTAAGTTTTAGTAGATTTCAATGCTATCTGTCAAATACGTTTGATTCAATGCTATTGCAATACTTTCAGGATCATAAAAAGTGAAATATTGAGAGGGTGAAAATCTCAAAAATATAAGCTAATTTTGAACACAGCATTTATAACTTTATTATTTAGAAATTTCACAACCAAACGACTGACATCTCCCGAAATGTTTTACAATAGTAAGTCAAATAAAATAAGTCACCTGCAATCGCTTCTTGATGAGCTGTATGGATTGGGCTATGGCGGCCGCATGGCTCTTCCAATCCCCCTCGCTCTCATCAAGAATAGGCCATCTCTTGACGACAATGGCAGCCACCGTCAACCCGTCGGAAGTTTTCGGATCGGACACCACCGCGCCCGCCGAGGAAGAAAACAATCTTGACCGCGACTGAATGGCAAAATCCGAACTTCTCGGAAACCGATTTGGGTCTTGAAAGCAGGGAGAAACCCTAGCTCCGCTGCTCGCCTTTTCAAAGGAATCGAGGGCGATTTGGTTTCCTAGACGAAGAAAGGATAACAAGGAGCGGATTGGTGGCTTCTTTTTGGTAAGAAATTTATCAGTGTAAGGACCAGTTTTGGAGTACGATCTCCTGAAGAGAGAAAACAATGCCATAGTTTTTTCTCCCTGGATAAAAGCGCAGCAATCCCGGTGTCCGCACAGAATAATTTGCCGAAGCGCCAACTTAGCAACTCCGCTTCGACATCACACTACCATGAGTTCTCCTTGCATTCGCTACTCACAAGATGAACTTTGAGATGTAAGATTTCTTCTCGGAGAAGTTAAATTTTCTTGTTTTATTAAGTTGAGCTTTTGATTTTGAGTTGGAAAAATGCTTTTTACCGCGTTCAGTACATCAATTTTTTATTTTGAGTTTCACATATTTTTTTTTTAAATCCTAATTTTTTATACATATTTTCAAATTTGAAGAAGCTTAAATGATAGACAACTTCGAATGGAGGTTGTGACTACAAAAGATTAGATGTTCAAAATATAAATATATTTAATTTTTAAATTTATTGAATTTATTTATTATGTTTCTTTTATGCTTCATACTATGATTTTATTTAATTTTTTATTAAATATTGACAAAATGATTGTATTATTATTATTATATTTAAATATAATAAGTATTTTTTTATTATGTGATATGATTCGACCACAGTCGGACCATTGAACTATTGACCTTTTTCAACTTCAAGCGAAGAATCATATAACAATTTCTTCTTCAGATGAGTTTAAGGACTTTAATAAATTTAAATATATTTTAATTTATGAGCATCAATTTTTTTTTCAACTTCATATAACAATTTTCCACCTTCTGAATTTCATTTCATTTTTATCTTGACTGTTGGGTAGAGAGAGATTTTTAAAGCAGAAAGTTATATTTTAATGTCTTAGTGCAAAAAATTTCCTAACAGGCCAGAAAAATTGGCTAGATTTAGGTAAGTTATTTCTACATTACTTTTGATTTCAGTAACTTTTGTGAGTACTTAAGTGAGTATGTTGTTATCGATAAAAATTGTTATAGAACTATAAATGCTTTAAAATGATGTTGTGAAACTTGCTCATAAATTTTTTTTATTTGTTACTTTGCATGTGTATACCCCGTGCAAACAACTAATTCTATCGTACATATGAAATTTCATGTATTTATGTTTTGTTAAATGTTATTCATATAAGTTAGAAATGCTAATATTTTCAAGATCATGTGATGAAATTTATATGTTTCCACTCATGTTCATATGGTGAGTTATATGTTCATATTCATGATCAAATGATGGGATTGATATGTTATGTTCATATGATGGAGCATTTATACAAGATAGAGAGAAAGAGGAGAAATTAGGGGTGTCAAAATTGGGTTTTGGACCAGGTTCGTGTCGAAACCGGAACTAACTCGGGTTTATCAAGTCGGATTTTCGTGTCTTGTCAAATATTGAAACTCCTAGGAGAAATGTAAGCAACATCTATTTATGTTTATGTGCAATAGAAGTTGAGTAATAAGGGCTTATGCACACATATTATTCCTCAATCTAAGCCTATGGTATACCTAAATAGATATAAGATGAACAAGTATAGCCATAAGTGGATGTGGAGCTATAAGGGACTAAGGGGAAACATGATTTAAATGGAGGTATAAGGAAGAATCGAAAAATGTCATATATGTTTTCTATTGATATGTTGAATGTAATGTTATTTTATATATTTTATTTTTGATATAATGCTTAAGTGAATACTCATCTTATCTTTTGTTGACATGTTCCAACTATTAATTGATTTGTGACACTAGTTGTACTATCACAATTATGCTCATAACAACAACTGATACAACCAATTATGTGATTTTATAAAAAGAAATAATTGATTTTTCATATTAATACAATGTTTAACTGATATGCAATTATTTTAAAATAAATATTACATTCTTAAGTAGGTCTCGTATATCTTACTGAGGAAATATAGCTTACCCCTATATTTGTTATATATATGTTTATGAAAGGGTAAAGCACCTCTTAAAAAAAGGAAATTATTGTGTACGCAATCCGAACGCAGAATAAGGTTCGGATGCTACATATTTACTGCTTATTTTACTGCGTATTTTTTTATAAATAATTTTTTCGTGGCAGATAAGCAGCAAACAAATAATACTCACTAAATATATAATAAATACGCAAAAAAAAAAGTATAAAAATTATGTATAAAAAAATATGCAGTAAATACGTAGCATTCGAACCTTACTCTGTGTTCGGATTGCGTACACAATAATTTCTCTAAAAAAAGATTGTTGATAAAGGCTAAAGCTATGATTATATATATGTCTTGCATTCAGATAAAATTCTTTTGCTAATCATGGTATGATATGTATTTTTGTTAAAGAAATGATATTGCAATAATTCAAATGAAATGATGATGATTATCATGATATTTTAATTAAAGTTCATATTTGATGAATTAGAAAGACTATATTGTTAACATTGAAGATATAAAAAGGAAACAAAAAATTCTTTCAATTTGGTCTTGAGAAAATAGGCCTGCTATGATAGCCTCTATATGATGAGATTTGTTCAGAGTATTGTGGGTTGTGTTAGGATGGGTTATGAAAGTACTTTAGTGGTAACAATGCAATGATTTGGAAGAATTACATTGTAACTATAACCATAGAAATGATTATTAGCTATAAAGTGGCAACCAAAGGTACTCTAAAGTTATTTATGTTTGTGTACCCTATCTTCATGGTTGGTAGTGTGATGCCCTATAATCTAATTTGTAAGAATTATTCATTTATCTTTTAATAAACAACAACAATCAGATCTATCTAATATCATCTATCATTAAAAAACAACAAAAAATATTCAATCATTCAAATATAATATAATAATAATAATCAAGTGGCATCTCTTTGTCCTTCAAATTTTCTTATCTTCTTCCTTCAGGGTCCTTATATTCATCGGGTTTGGATATCCAAATGGAAAGAACTCTCCTTTGTAAGGATGTTTCTTTCCTCTTTGATTTCTAAGGAGATGCTTTATTTTAAGAACTTTCACAACTTTTAAATCATATTACACATGAAAATTTAAAACGAACTCTATACTTCTTGCATGTTAGTTAACAAGAACAATTGATATAGAAAATAGTCAATAGAAAGCTCAAATAAAATAATCACTTGCTCATTTTGAGGAAACATACCAACTTGGCCATGCTTTTAATTTTAGGACGCAAGGAAATAAAGAACACCTGCATACAATTTATTAATCATATTTTAATTAGCCCCTTTTTATAGAACTACATAAGCATAACCACCTACAAAAAAATATGTTAACATCCGAATCATTCCTAACATCAAAGCATAAATCCACTTCACATACAAAATAAAGAAAATTCATAAAAGAACAGCATCCTACCTTATAGCTAATGTTGGTTGACATAGCAAGCAATCTATAATGTCTGGAAGTGGGTTGTGTGGTTTAGATATTCCTTAAGTTGGTTACTTTTTAGAACTTTGAGCACTTTACTCTGATTTGTTTATAGGCTAAGGATTTTAAATTTGAGTTTAAGTCTTATTTTGATGTTCATTTTAAAATGAGTTTTAAATGTTAAGGTTGATTAATTATTTGTTTTCTAAAGCCTTTGATTTTAATTAAGTGTTATAATCCTTAGGCCTTACAATCCAATATGTCTTCTCCTTTCAAATGGAATCAAGCAAAGGGTATGAAAGCTTTAGTTTGGTAATGATTTATTATTAATCATTCAAGTTGAATAATAATTGTCTTTACCTATATCAAGGCCGTGAGATTTATTTCACCCTTCTTAGGACTAACTTATTAGGCTCTTAAGCCCACGTTATCTAGTTTGATGATTAAGTTATCATAATTTATGATTACATTATTACTCATTTTGATATTAATTTTCATCTTATTTTTTGATATTTAATTTGGTTTATTAAATTCTTAATATATATCCTTAAATATGTTTGCGTTAGGCAGACTTTTAATTTATTTTAAATTCATAAACTTTTATATTTTAAGAAATATTAGGATTTTTTTCTAATTGAATTCAATTGAGTCAAAAGTGAACTAAATTTTATTGAATTAGTTATGATTTTCGAAAGTTTAGTCATAATTAACGAATTAAGTATGATCAATTTTTTGTTCTTTGTGTTTTAAATGGAATCATAGGGATTTCATATTTTTTATGAATACTATACTCAATTATAAGTTCAATGTTTTGAGTCTATTTAATTTGAATTTTTTCATAATTAGTTATGTTTTTTTTTTTAAATTGAACTCATTAATTGATTTATTTAATTGCTTAATTAGAGGAGTTTTATGATTTTTGTACCAAATCAATTCCAAACCTCTTGAAATCTCTTCCAAATGTCACTAATGTCTCTTTGAGGTGATTTTAAGTATTTGGGATCATTTTTGGTATTTTTAAGTTATTTTATTTAATTAATTAATTTTTTTTATTTTAAATTATTATTAATTCTGAAATTTGGTGATTGAGCTTTTAATTTTTTTGGCTTAGGAATTTAATTTTGAGCAATTTGAGCCTTAGTTTGTATTTTTTTAATTTTATTTGAATTAATTAAGAAAACTAGGTCCATTTTGTAGGTGAAATTTGGGATTACAAAATGATAGACCAAATGATATTCAATTGTAGTGAAACTTGAAACATTGGTCCACCAAGACCTATACTTCAAGCCTATTAAAATTAGCTTCATGGTGGCCCCCCTAAGATTAGCAACTTAATAACCTAAGGCAAATGTAGCTATGCACTTAGTGATTTATTTAGGTCAGACTAAGTATGAGATTGGGGTCTAATCATAGGTCTTTTAACCCTTAAACTAAGCACAATCAATCCTTTTTTTTTTTTTTTTTTTTTTTTTTTTTGGGGGGGGGGGGGGGGGGGGGGGGGTGAATTAGTGTGTTTTAAATTTTAAAGTATTTTTCTTAGATTCTGAATAAGAATAACACCAATTGAAATAAAACTAATCATATAATACAATTGCAACAAATTGAAAAAGTATAAACTAAATTTTTATATTGGTTCAGTCACCATGAGTGTCTACTCCCTAAAGTCCTCACCTTGAGAATTTCACTACATCTCTCTTCTTCTACTCCTAGTAAGGTGAAGAAGTCCTTCTCCTTCACAAGGTAATGGAGAAAATCCTATACAAAACGTTGCTACCGAAAAGCATTTAATTCCCTCCTTCTCTAGCATCATGGAGATGCCTCAACTTCCCTAGCCTCCTTGGTTAGACCCAGAGTCTCTTACACCAAGACTTTTTAGAGCTCTTTTCCCATGATTTTCTTATAACAACTATGAAAAATAAGGATGCAGATTTAGAAAAATAATCTTTTGCACTTGTCATACAAAGATCTCTTAGACACTCTAAGAAATATCTCAAACGTTCTCTCCAATCTCTTGCCCATTCTCCTATCAAATTTTTGCAAGAACACATAAAGAGTTCCCTTACACAAGAACTCCCTCTCTCTCTTAAAAGCTCTCTTTGAAAAATCTAGGTAAAAGCACTCTTCTCCACCCTTAGGATTTTTTAATTAGGCTTACTTATTTATATCAAGGTTCCAAAAAGAAACCCTAATTAGTCTATTAATAAATTTAGATGATCTGACCATATAGTATGGTTCACTAATTGTATAGTACAATGAGTTCATTTAGCCAAAACCACTGAAAGTGGCTCTCTATTTGATCAGCCTACACGATGTAGATTGTACAATACGATCAATTCAAGTTTTTGACTTAGAAGACTATATCATCCTGTCCTAATGAACAGTGGTGGAGCCATGATTATTTATCTGCGGGGGCACAAATTTTTAATTTGAGCTTAAAATTGACATTAGGATTTTATTTTTTTTTAAATATCTAACTTAAATGTTTTCATATATAATTTAAATAAAAAAATAATAAAAAAATATTTTATAACGAGTAATAAATATAAAAAAGCTGCATCTTATTAATATGAAAATATAAAAATTATAATTAGTATATTTTAGGCTACTTGATTTAAATTTAAATATTATAATCTTTCTCTAGTGTAGTTTGTTAGCTTTAATTATATAATTTTTCTATAAAAGAGAATTTGGAGATTTTAAAATAATTCAAAAAATTGATGAATATTTTTATTTAAAAAAAAATAGTCATGTGAAGATAAATGATTAAATTAAAAATATATATAAATAAAGGAATAAATATAAATAAAAAAAAGTTTAAGATGGTTTTAAAAAAATAAAAAGATAGCTAAGTGGAAAATATCATATCACTCTCATGAGAGAGAGAGAGAGAGGGAGAGAGAGAGCATCAAGTTCAAAAGGTTGCCACCATAACAAAAAAAGGGGCAATGGAGATACTAGGTAAACATTAAACATAAAAAATTAAATTCATATAGTATGAATAAGTGTGTATAGTATGATTAGTACATATTCAAATTTGCCTACTCATAGAAATAACAAAGTGTCAACAATTTAATTTTAAATAATTTATTGTCTAACATACTAATTATTGTTTTGTATGATTACATGTGATTTTTTTTTTTATTTCTTTTAATAAATACTGCTTGCCTATCCTAAATTATAAAAATTATCATTCTCATTGTATGATTATGATATCATATAGTACAAAATAATCAAAAAATTAAATATTTTAATTAATTTTCAAATTTTCTATTTTAGTTACACTTGTGTCTATGTGCTTGATACTCATTATATACATATAATATAAAAAAAGACTTAAAGAAATAAAAATATAAACAATTACAGACTAACACACACTTTACTTCTTGAACTATTATTGTCTTTGATTGTCTTCACATTTTTTATTTTAAGCTAGCTTAATCATTTCCTCCCCTTTGATTATATATACTGTGCCAGATATTTCTTTATTTGTTATCCTTCATTTTACTTGAAATGTTAGCATAAAAGCAATAACCTACACACATAACTAAATTCTCAATTAACATAACTAATAATATTTATGATAATCAAAATCCTAGAAAATGAGGTATGGGTTATGGCTAGCTTACTAATTATTGTAAATGGGATTGGGATGAAACATGTTAACACAAGGTAGTACTAATTGATTTGATTTCATATTTATTAAAGGGGTTGGATAGACTAAGGCTTTGATCTAATCCAGGCTTTGTCAAAAAAAAAAAAAGTGCGCTTGTTTGTTTTGATTGTTCTTAGATTCAAATGGTGCATATAATACCAAATTAACTCATAGAGAATGTATTTGTATATTAATCAAACATATTATTGATTTTGTTACTAATGTTGGATATGTTAATAGCTATAAGCATGGGTTTAGGCCTAACATAAAGAGATGCATATGTTATCTAATTAGGGTAACCCGATTAAAGGAGTGGTAGGCAATGCCTTTTTCAACTAAGCATATTCAATTCATATATGAAACTAGACTAAAAACAATTAGTGATATATGAGTTTTATAAAATTTAGTGACAATAAAGAAAAAAAAAAAGAGATTATGTATTAAAAGATGAGGCAAGAATGTTCGATAAAAAAGAGACATGAAATAATAAACATTCGAATTGTTTGAATAAAATAGTACTATGCAGAGTAATGCAAACTAAGGAATTATAGCAATGCAAACTAAGAAACTACATTTTAACATGCATGTTAGAGAATCCTTTTCATAATAGATCATAGAAAAGAGTCCCTAAAGAAGTTTGAATGAGGCAATAAAGTCACAACCCTATTTGAAAGGGTGGGTGATGGCTTGCATAAATATAAAATATGAGTAAATTTTATTGATATGTCACCTAAAAATTCATCCAACCAAGTATGCATTGGCTCAATTTTTAAAAGCTAAAGCATAAAAGGATTCAAATCAAAATTTCCAAAATTGATACTAAGATCATATAATTTATATTTTTAATAAACATATAGTTGAAATGAGCATCTCGATTAGACAAATCTAATGATAACACACACAGGGGCAGATCTGCTATATGCCAAGTCCCCCTCAAAAAAAAAAAAATTACTATATATATATATATATACTATATATATATATATATAATATTATATATTATATATAATATTATAGTATATTATAAATAATATGTTGTTTAGGCAATTTAGTCCCCTCCATTTATTTTTTTGTCTTTATTACAAGAGTTTTTAGGCAATTCCCCCCCCCTTTAAAAGTTTTAAAATTTATTATGATCTTTAGCAATTGCCCAACACAAATTAAAACATTATGTAGAATTTATTCTTACAACAAAAATCAAAAAGAAAGAATAATCCTTACAAAGAGAATAATAAAGAAAATAAAAAAAATACCTTAAGGGGCCTGTCCCCTTGGATCCCTACATATCTTGAAGTATATAAAAATCAAGGATATGAAGCAAATAAGGTCAAAGGCAGCACCCCGGAATAAATTTTGTTGTTAAAGTTATTTATGAAAAATATACACATTTTACTATAAGGTTTGGCCCCCCCCCCCCCCCCCCCCTGAAAATTAAGGCTGGTTTCGCCCGTGAACATACATGTTGATTCAAGTTCAAAGGGCATAAATCGAGCACCTAAGGTATAATTAAAAGTTTCATAAGACTTTGAGGGTCCAAATGACTTACGAATTTTATATGGTTCTATTTACAATGAGCATCCTGATGAAATGAATATGACAAGACCAATATTAGCCAATTATAATATCACGAAGATACTAAAATGACTTGAAAATATTGAATAATTATAGGGGTTAACTTTGGCTGTCCTACATAGTGACTTTAATTATAACTAAAATGATCAGAAAAAGTCATCCATAAATTTATAAGTATGCAATGCTTCCACACCTTTGATGAAGGAAGCAATGGAGAATTTTGATGGAGATAACTCCTTAATTCGAAGAAATCTTTATCTCTAGCCATTAGCACCCAAAACTTGCTATAGTTGGCAAGGCAGATGCTAACTATCACCAATAAGATCTACTCCAACCATCATCAACAATATTAATGCTTATTACCGTTAACAAGATCAACTCGTGATATTGCTTAACATTGCCATCAAAGTTGATGTCCATCATCACTTCCTAGGTTGACACATGACATCACCATCTAAGTCAACACCCGCCTCACCATCAAAATAGATGCCCATTGCCACCACCAAGATTGATGTCTACCTTCAAAGGCACCGATCTCCCCACCTTCAAGGAGAACAATCAAGCATAAAATCAATCATCTTATCATAATAATTTTGATGTCTCATAACTCCTACCATCATCATATAAAAAGTCTTTTACAATTTACATATGTAACAATATATTAAATTTTTATTAAATTACAAGAAAAAAAACATGTAATACTTGAATTATAATAGTAAAATCTTTTTAATTAGGCTAGATCCTATAGTCTTCAGTCACTTCCAAAAATTTTAAATAAAAAATCTTAATTTTAAGTTGCTCGAAATTTTTTTTTATTTATACGGGGTTGTAATTGATTATGAAGACATCAATTTCTTCTTCTAGTGTTTTACGTATTTAACACAATATTTATAATATTGATTATCATATTATTCTTATATTAAAAATCCTCATTTGCTACTTTTCATGTGTTTAGGAACTGAAGATGACCTTCAGAAAATTGCTTAGTACTAAAATAAGGTGAGTAAAAACCTATTAAAATATTAAGTAACACATAAAATTATATTATATATAATATAATATTTAAAAACCGAAAAAAAGGAGTATCAGCGTCAATACAAATGTTAGGGTAAACTGCAGCTCATGCTTTTCTTGTTGCTTTCACTTCTACCCCCAAGCTCTTCACCCGTAAACAATTGCTTCTAGATCTCGACGCAGCATTGCAAATGTTAGAATAAACAGGAGCGCATGTCAAATCCTATCAATTTCCTGCCTTCTTCCTCCTGCTACTTCTCTTGGCCACCTCAAAGCTCTTCATCGATGAACAAGGACTTCTAGATCTCGCCAAATTGACTCCAATTTCTCTATTATGCTTTGCGTCACAAATCGGAAGCCTATAACTTAACTGTAGACTTGCCATCCTTGCACTACTACCGGATTTTCACCTTCATTTGGTATTCAACTTATCATTTGCACTTTCAGCTTTCAAGAGTATGATGCAATTTTTTTGGGTCGGGTTTTAGTTTATGATCGTTCATTTTGGTTTCTTGAACTTGGCTAGCGGTTCGAAACTTTTTGAGAGGATGCAGCGTGTTCACGCCACAATTGAGGAGCAGCTTATTCTCAAGTCAATCAAGGACGAATGCCCTTGGGAAAACCTCCCCAAAAGGCTCCAGGCGACGATCTCCACAAAAGAGGAATGGCACAGGAGGTGGTCCTTTTAGTATTTTTTTTTTCTTTTAGTTGTTGGCCAGATTTTCAATATGTTCTTTGAAGATTATCTTTCAGTTAATGTTTGGTTAATTGGCGCAGTATATTAGATGAGTTACTATGCGTTGCCTATCTGCCGCCTGAGGCATTTATTAATTTTCTAATCGGGGTGTAAGTAGTTTTTTATTCTTTTTTATTAATGTAGGATTTGAAATCAAGTGAACAGGACTGTCAATATTAATATTCACTCAATGCAGCATAAAATACATAGCATAAAACACCTAACAATTACAACAATAGCTTCACTACTATGCAGTATGGTTTTTTTTTTGCAATTTTTCTAAACATGGTTTGTTTTGGAAATTAACGAACACAAAGTGTTTTGTTCATCTATGAATGATCAATCATGCTGCTGAATTGTACGACGTTGGAGATGACCATATTTAATGTTGGAGTCACTCAACTTCTATTTCTTACTTTAATCTATGAGAATTATTTGAAATTCAGCAAATGGGTGTTGTCAATCTTTTCAGTATGCCACCTAAGCTAACTCAAAAGTTATTGGTTTTATTAGCTATTTTAAGAAAAAATGTTATGAATCTTATTTCTAAATTTAGTTTTGGTGAAGAAATGGTATTTTTTTGGTAATCTTTATGGAATATAGGGAAAATTGTAACGAGCATTAAATTATGTTTTTAAGAAATATATGCTCCATTAGAATTGAGATAACCCAAAACAACATTTTAAGCCTAAGCTACTTTGAAAAATGGATTTGTAGAGATGAAGATCTCTATCCTAGGGGAGTGAGTACCATAAGTTATGCATAGATGATGTAATGGTGAAAAACTTATAGAAGGCATAGCTTTGATCAATTTAGAGTGATGAGAGGATGTGTCAAGTCATCAAGTTGGAATAAATCATGATATATCTTATTTATTGAATCTTAGGTTTCATTTGACTTTGCAAATCCTTAGTTCAGATGCGAAGTTGAAATGCTATAAAGAAATTTGGAGCATCTGGAAAGCAGTTGATAGTCAATTAATAATTTACAAGCACTGGTCAAACTTTTTTGTATTTAACAAGAAAATGGGATTGAAGATTTTATGTTCTTTGACCTTCAACCAAAGAAATTTATTCATCTCTTTGTTTGGGCATACAGGTGGATTGTACTTGTTGGCTGACCTTTTAGTTGTTCGTATAGGAAGCAAGTTGTTTGATTTTCCTCAATTAGGCAGAGCATGTGAAGAAATATGCCAAAATCAAAATTTTGACAGTGCAATGATATTGTTGCAAGTTGGCTATACCATTCAAAGCTTAAAATTCTCTTTATACTCATTAGTAACTGTGATGTCCCCTTAAATTTAGTTTTATTAGCAAACCTTGGAGATCTTTTTATCTTTAGTAGATTTTGAGTGGATGGTTCACCAGATATAACCTCCTCCTCTAAAAAATTTGCTCAAAAAATTTTGAAGTATTATTCTCATCTTGATGTTAATGATTTATATTTATGAAAGAGAGAGTTGATTAAAGTAAATGAAGAACTAATTGAAGTTGAACTTGATATTATAGGACACTTTTACGTAATTTCTATATTTCATGTTGTTTTGCTCTTGTAATATCTAAATTTAAATTCTATTTCATGCAATTTTTTGTTTTATATGTATGTCAATTTATTATTTCATAGTTTAATAGAAAGTTAATATGCCATTCTTTAACATATTATTTAGGCATTATATAAAAAATCACTTTTAACTTTTATTTTCACTTTACCCAATTTTTGAATTTTGAGGCTTACGCCTCACTTTACCAAAGAAAAACTTCTCAATACCCAATGGCACAGTTTTAAACCTTTATATATAAAATCTTATTTTAATATTTATTTTGTAGGAAAGTTAATTTTTTTGTGCACAACAACTACAATAATAAGCCTTTATCCCACCATGTGAGCTCGGTTACATTAATCCTTTTTCTCCATTGTGTCTTGTTAAGAGTCAAATTCTTATCTAAATCTAATAAAAAAAGGTTATTTCTAATATTTTATAACCAAGTATTTTTAGATCTACCTCTTCCTTTCTTAACATAAGTCAAATCTAATACAACTATTTTCCTAACCGGGTCATCGGAAGGCCGCCGTTTTATGTGGCCAAACCATTAAGGTGACTCTCTCTAATCTTATCGTCCACTGAAGCTACTCCAATCTTTTCACGTATATGATCATTTCGTATACTGTTTCTAAGAGTAAAGCCACTCATCCACCTGAGCATCCTCATCTCTGCAACACTTAACTTAATATTATACTGCTCTTTTAATGGCCAACATTCTGCACTATAAACTATAAAGCATTGCAGATCTCACTACCATCTTATAGAATTTTTCTTTAAGTTTGAGCGGAACTTTTCTATCACAAAACAAGCTCGATGCATGCCTCCACTTCAACAATCCAACTTGAATTTTGCTAATAATATCCCCGTCTATTTCACCATCACTAATAATTTTTTTTGAAATTTTTTTTTTTTATTGTTTAATTATGAATCATTTCAAACTGAGTCAGTTTCAAGTTCGAGTGAAAGTAATTTCATGTAAGTTATGTATTAATAATTTTGATTTAAGAAGCTGAGTTTGTATCACCTCAATTGATTCAGTTCAAGGTGAGCCAGATTGACTTCAGTTGCAATTTAAGTTAGAGCTGATTTGTGTTAGACTAAACTCCAAAATTTTGCATTCAATTCAAGGATTGGCCACCCTGCTCAAGAAAATTGTTTTTTCTTTGCCATTACATTCAATGCAAGTTTTGCTTTCAGTAATGGCATATATGTGGGTTCCATTATTCATGATAGACATGAATATATACTTTATTAGATTTATTCTAGATTCTTTTGTATCAGCTGGTATGTTTATTTGATTTAACATTACGACAAACTAATGTATGATAATGACAGTTGTACGGCTACCCGGATTTTTTTAAAAATAATTGAAGCGATTATGAATAAGAAGAATATGTCAAGGACATTGTACGATCACTATTATACTGCATTTGGAATGAATTTAGAGTTAACCACTAATGTGAGCATTATCTTCATGTTTTTTCACATTACTTTTAGAAACTAAACACTAGTTTGGATCCATTATTTGCACAGCCTTGGAGGAATTTATTTTGAATGTTAAACATGACATGTGTACATCTCTCCTCGTTCTTTGTACTCATTGCTAATCTACCTGTTGTTCTTATTTGGTCTATTTGCTGCATTATAAAATTTTCTTTCTTTACTTATTGCGAAATTTTTTGTGTTACCTTTCTTTCTTGCTCTCAACTATATCATTTTACTATGGAAGGTTGCATCGAACGCTGTTCCCTTTTATAGCTTCAGATTGCATTTTTAATTGAAATGATTTTGAATAAGAAGAATATGCCAAGAACATTGTACGATCACTGTTATGCTGCATTTGGGATGAATTTTGAATTAACCACTAATGTGAGCATTCTCTTCATGATTTTTCACATTACTTTTAGAAACCAACACTGTTTTGGATCCATTATTTGCACAGACTTGGAGTAATTTATTTTGAATGTTAAACATGTGTACGTCTCTTCTTGTTCTTTGTCTTCATTGCTCATCTACCTTTTATTCTTATTTGGTCTATTTGCTGCATCATAAAATTTTCTTTCTGTACTTTCTGTCAAAATTTCTTTGTTACCTTTCATTCTTGCTCTCCAGTATATAATTTTACCATGGAAAGTTGCATTGAACACTTTTCCTTTTGTAGCTTCAGATTGCATTCCTCAGTTGTCTCATAAATATTTTGATATCTTCTTTTGGATAAGCATTTCTTTATTGCCGGGTTTAATTTGGAGAAAGTGATTTGTTTAATCTACTTTGTAAATATAAGTGCAGAATAATAGAGAACTGTATAAAAAAGCGGCTACAATGGAATACGTGTTTTGCTCGTAAAATATGCAAAGAAGGAGAATATTATGAAGAGATGATGCGTTATCTGCGTAAGAATCTTGCGGTACCTACCTAAACATGTTCATTCTTTATTTCCTTCTCTCAATGTCAAATTTCTGTTAGAACTCGTATCAATGAGTTCATGCATACAGTTGAGACAGCATTCATAACTATTTAAGATTGGCTCACAATTGATGATGGAAGTTTCCACATTATCTCAAGAGTTATAATGCTTAAGCGTTCCTCAATTTCTATTTTGGCTCCATTAATTTATGATTCCTTTGCAGCTGTTCCCGTATCACCTTGCAGAGTATGTTTGTCGAGTAATGAGGATTTCACCCTTCAAGTTTTACTGTGATATGCTCTTTGAAGTAATGAGAAATGGTAATTGCTTCAAAGTGTTGTAAGATATGCTAAATTTATATTTTCAAGTCTACTCTATTTTCCTATTTAGGTTTTCTTACCTTCTTTCATGCCTACTTCCAAATAATTTTGAGGAAAACCAATTCATTGTTAGTACAAAATAACTTATATGCAAGGTGATTGCTTTTGCCCTTTTTATCATATAATTTGATTCATCATAATGATTCAGGTATTTCAAAGGGTTAGACAATCAACTTCATCTGAATAATTTTAGAGCATGAGATTTTAATGCTCATATCCGTTGAGGTCCTTTTCTGTTTCCTAGAAGCATGTTGGGTGGGAATACGAGTCTTTGATGGATTAAATCAGAAAATTATTTGCATGCTATCAACATTGAAACTTGTATAGCCATGCGTTGTTGACAGGAGACACAGGACCTTCGGAACCTGGTGTTGTTGGGTATGAGGCTGTTGTTTATTTGCATGCTATCAACATTGAAACTTGTATAGCCATGCGTTGTTGACAGGACCTTTGGAACCTGGTGTTGCCGGGTATGAGGCTTTTGTTTATTAAAAAAAACTGACAAATAGTTTACCAGTTTAAACTAAAAGTGGGATTAGGCTTATTTCTAGCTTTTAGAAGTTGCTTTATTTAAATTAGAATTTTAGATTTGTTTATTTATTTTATTATCATTTATTATCGTTTTTGGATAATTTCAGGCTTGAATTTGAATTAAATTTAATTTAGATAGTATTAGATTTATATTAAAAAAATGATCTTATCTCTAAGTATTATTATTATTATTATTGTTACTGTAAACCTATCTTTATAAATGTTGAATTCAGAGTTGTATTTAGTCAATTGCAAAATGAATTGAATTAGGCTTATTTTCTAATCTCTCTATTTTAGGGAACTCCAATGACTCCTCTTTCTTTTATTTTCTGGGATCTCCATCTCTAGTACCTGCTTCTTCTTACTATTCATATTTACATCAATTTGCATTAGAGCAAATCCTTATTTCTCATCAATCAAACTACTATAAGAGGACATGAATCTTGACTCTTGTTAACTCGTTTTGATGGTCATTGAGCATGCCATCCACTCATTGTTTGCTCTAATCCAGTCTTGCAAGCTTTCATAACCCATCACTTATAACTTTTTGGTCTACCTTTACTCCATTGCTTGCAATCATCTCCACATTGATCTAGTTGCCACTCCACAAATTGTTTAGCTTCTACGCTTGAACATAACATAACACTGTTATCTTCTATTTCCATGAGATCCTCAATCTATCTTGTTAGGGGTGTCTCTAAATGATCTGACCTGATTAAAAAAATTCAGTCCGGGTTGATCCTTTTTAACAAATAGGATGGGTTTTGGTCTGGAATTTCGACCCATTTATTAAACGGGTTGGGTTTGAGTTGATCCGCCAACCTGATTTTAACCTAAAACTTATCCATTTAATAAATTTTTCTTAAATTTTTTTTATTTGTTGGTATGTTCTTTTTATTTTTTATCAATTAACCTAAAATCTATGGTTAAGAAATTATAATTTTTTAATCAAAATGGGTTATTGGATTAGGTTTGGGTCATTCGGGTTGCTGGATGGTTGGGTTCGAGTCCACTTTTTAACCCGTTTATCAAACAGTTGGGTTCATGTCGGACCAGAACACAACCCGTTAACTTGTTTTGAAGCCCCTACATCTAGTGTCGCTCACAACCTTCTCTTTGAGACAAAGCCACTGCATATACACACCTTCCGATTTGGCATTTTGTAGATTATTTTGATCTCTGGTGCTCAATCATTGCCACTTATGTTTATCCAATTTTATTGTTATTTAGTATTTGATCAAATCTGTACAATGATAGACTATTTTGATTGATTATAAAATATTATTTAGTCTTAAAGGTTGATTTTGTATCTCCAAAAGAAGAGCGAAATAGTTTCATTTATTAAAGATTGCTACTATCTAATGCACATCGAAATGGTGTTACAATGTAATATCTATAAAGTTGAGTATATCACCGTTGAAGAATTTACTATCAATAAAACTGGAAAGAACATTGAAAATGATCTCCTCATTCCACTTTAATAATGATACAACATCTTGAATTTCTCTTTTTGCAATATTTCAACTCTTCAAGAGAAGAGTTTTCTCAGCCCCATGGGATTTGATGCAACACAAAAATTATGTTTAACTTTATTTTTTGTATTTCAAAAGTTTTTTTTAATGTAAATTAGGTCCTTAGATTTGCTAATTTTTTATCAGCATTAATTATCATTCTTGAATAATTCCATGTTTGACCTATTACGGTTAGATTTTGTTGGAGAATGATGACTACAACCAAGGCAATAAAGGTGGGTAGTCTAGACAACTATATGGACAATTCCGGAAAAAAAGGTTTTTTCAATATAAATACCAGCAACATATGTATAAATACCCTTTCAATATATGATAATGCAAGCAAGGTATTGTCATTCTCCTATTTTCTATACTGTATCAAAGCTATAGGTTTTTTCAATATAATTCTTTTATGGTTTTTTTTCCCTCCATGTTTGAGTGTTCTAACTTCTCCACGAGAGAATCATTTATCATGAATAATGAGAACCAAACCAATTCAATCACATGATAACTTTAGGGGTTACAAGTCGTAGACTGACTGAATTGAAGGAATTATCTAATGTAATCTCAGATTGTGAAGCCTTCTTGAAACTAAAAGTGAAGCTTCACCACCATGTTAATCATCTTATGAATCATAGAGATCTAAAGTTCACACTTTGAGATGAAGGAGACTTCATGATCAATGCATCACTATATAATTCTATGTTTATCGAAATTAGTGGGCTTTGTATGTTCCTCACAACATCAAATGTAGTCTGGGAAGCGAGAGACAAATATGCTCAAAGATTAATATTCTTGCTCTCATCTATGAGATCAAGGCAAAATTCTTAACCTACCATCGTTAAACACTTCAATGTAATGAAGGTTTTCTTTTATTAGAACTTCAATGTAATGAAGGTTTTCTTTTATTAGAATTAGATTACCATCATGATCTAAAGCATCCAAAGCATCCAAATATAGGACCCCTCCCCCTCATTTGTATTCCACTCCAAAGCATCCAAGTTTTCAAGCCTTGTAAAGAGCTTTCTTAGTGAAGAGTGTTCTCTCCCTTTTAGCCTCCACTCTCCAACTTTAAGTGCTCTTCCCTAGTGTTGCTAAGAACTTAGGCTGCTTAGCATTAGGATTGAAGTGCTAAGGACACACAAAAGACTTAAGGAAGATCTCTCCGTGATAAATTGCTCAAGATATTGTGAACTTTTATGTTTAAAAATTATTCTTGAAGATTAAACGAGGAACTATAAGATCATTAATGATACTAATTCTGCAAGTAGCATTGTTCATAATTTTGCATAGCATGATCAAACTAAACTTGTGGAAGTGGATGCCATTTATAAAATAATTGGAGAGGGGGTTGATTTGTACCCTTATGTTCGAACAAGAAATAAGCTTGTCAATACATTCTCCAAAGACCTTTGCAATCCTGTATCAAAAATATTTTGCAAATATAGAATTTTAGACCTCTTTGAGGGGCATTGTTGGATAATGTTGGATACAACCAAGGAAATAAAGGGTTGAAACAATTGTAAGAACAATTTCAACAAGAAATTATGGGCAATTGCATGCTAGAGATGTAAAGTATGAAGCTGTGATTGATGGTTCATCTAACTGTAATTGATGGACAAGAAAAAGGAAGGAGGAGCCCATAGATTCGTAACAGAAGACAGGAACACAGATCCACTGAAACAGACAAAAATGGAAATATGAAGAACACATATTCAAGGAGCTTTAAGAGAAATTTTTATCATTATTATTACTTTTTCTAAAGAGATATGAACAATTCTATGTATAAATGCCATTTGAATGTATGCTAATGCAAGCAAGTTTTTGCCCTTTTCCAAATTTCAACATATTTGAATTTGAAGATTTGACCTTATATTTGTGCCTTATCTTTCTAATTCTATTTCTATACAAATGGGATTTGATGCTTGCCTCTAATTATGTGTAGAATGGATTGAATTAAATAAACTTCGTAGTTTCTTTCTTTTTTTAATAGAATTTGATTTCTTATCTTTCTCTTCCTCTTTCAGGCCTCTTTATCTCCTAATATATGATTCTCCTTTCTCGATAATTTTACATCATAGTCTTTTCTAAATTGTTTTAAGTTTCAAGCTTACTGGTATGTAGCCATAGTTTTGCTGGATCTTAATCTTTCCTTAAATGTAAACTTATTGCTATTTAATGTCTAAAATGTGGATTCTATAGTTATATGCCCAATTCCCAAAATCCAAATTTGAAATTAAGTATGATCATTTCTACCTTTAACAACCCCTTGTCCGCCTTGTAATGTAAAATGTTTTCATTGGTTCTTGTTGTGCTGCAAGTTTCATTTGATTTGAGATTAGCAGCCTTGTTATCCCTTCGTTTCCCTGGCCCTACTTGGCCGATACCTATAATTTTTACCAAGTACTTAAAGAACTTTCAGAGACCATTGCCTAGGTTTTACATTTCTGGTTAGGTTTTTGGTCATTTTTATCCAGATTCCTTGTAGCTATGAAGTAAAGCTTTAGAGTTTTAAACAAATACTGCGCTATTTGAGGCCTTGTATTGCCATGTGGACATACTTTAGATACTTTAGATCATGCTTTTTATCCAAACGAACAGAGAAATTAATTTTTGTTCAGCTCTTTTGATCAAAACCTTTTGGCATTTGTATTTCTTAAGTTTTTTATGGAACTGTTATATTAATGCCAACTAATGACTACCAAACAAAAAACTAAGTAGAAATGATGAGGGTTGAATATTTCAATACTAACCTCAGCACTACGAAGTTTTTACAATTGAAATAGGTGCATAACTTCATCCAGTCTGTTCACACAAAAATATTTCACTTGCGTTGATTGTTTGCAGCTTACTTACCAGTTGGCTTGGTATGAAATTTTGTACTATTCATCAGGCAATATATTATCATCCTTTCTTTTTAAAATATAGAAGTTAATAGCTTCTTGGTTTAGATGGTTCGGAATGCCTTTTTCAAGTTACACAAATTGACTATTCACGATTATGAATAATTTTAAAATTGCAACCTGATTTCTTGACGAATTCATGCAGAGCAACCATATGACAGCATCCCTAATTTCAGTGCTGCTGATGCTTTGAGGCTTACTGGAATTGGTAGAAATGAATTTATTGATATAATGAACAAGTGCAGATCAAAGGTACCCTTGCTAACTGTAGTTTATGATGGTATCCTCAATTGCTTAGGTCTGTTCTTAGAGCAACATTGATTCAAATAATCATACTGCTGAAATTTACGTGATTATTGAATGAATCCAGTGAGGGAGGGATATGAGTTAAGGTTTTATTTTATGCTGCTGGATGTTGTTTTCGTTGCCCAAATCACGACAGGCCAGTGGTATCCACGCTTTGAGGCATGTTGAGCTTCTAATGTCCTGTTAACATCAAAGCTCGAAATGTTTTAAAAAACCTAAATTATATTAATGCAATGATATTATTACATAGTTGATCCTTGGCACCAATCAGTTACACCTGTAGAAAATCTCCAGAAAATACAATGACGCTATATAAGAGATATACTTAAATTTCAAGATCTCATTATTATATATTTTGAGGTTGCGAAGGTCCTTTCATTTGAATGAATTATAAAAAGCATAATAGTCGAGTTTGGTGAGTCTCCTCATAACTTTTAGGTCACTCCTTGATTCAGAAAGATAAACAAATGGATGACCTTTTTAAACAGAATATGGAAACTATGGAAGTATTGAGCAAACGATCCTCATCAAACTTAAAAAACTTCATTAGTGCACTGCTGAGTTGATTTTTCATGCAAAAAACAGGTAACGCTCCAAGTTAAAATACATGGTTAAAAAGTTAAAATATACGCCTTGTCCAATATTTTCAAATTGGCGCGCTCTTTTCAAAGGTTGATTAGGTGTCACATGTAAAATGAATCACATTGAATATTTGCCAAAAATATAGGCATTTCATAAGGATCATGTCATCATAACATGTATTGCTTACATTGCAAGTTCTCTTATGATATTGACTTAAGATATTAGTTACGTCTAATTGATATGCAAATTGAGACATATCAATTAGTGCGTCATAGGCATAAGAATTTCAAGCAAAGCATATGATAATGATCTGATTACTCACATAGCATGGTTATCCCAAAAGTGGCTCAAAATGGTAGAATTAATTAAATAAGAATTTTAATTAAGAAATAACTTAATTTTTAGAAAGGTAAAATCACCTATTCAAGGTACTTGATAGTCTTGTTTTTGCTAGACAAAAAGTATGTCAGTATCTCACCAATATATATTTTTTATTTTAAACTATTTTTCGTCACCTAATCTCTCTATAGCCTTAGTTTTTTTTCTCCCATTTTTTTTCTCTTCAGTGTACTTTTTCCTCCTACAAGCTAGGATTTTCATTGAACCCCTCCTTTTTTTTCTTCCTCTCTCACTTGCTAATTAGGTACCCTAAAAATCTTTTATATATAAGCTCTCAAAATTACATTTGTCCTTCCTGCTCATTCTTTCCTCCAAACATCCTTTTTCCTAAATAATCTGCTTTCACCATGATATTGTCCCTTGAAGGGGTTGATAATCTTCTTCTATTTATATAGTAAAAAGCATAAGATCTCTTCTAGCCTAAGAAAATATTTCTTTTAGCTTTAAAAAATTATCTAAGATTTAGTGAATGATTACTTCTATCCTAAAAAGCTAGATAAGACAAAAAAATTCTTTAGTCATGAAAATTAAATATGCTTAATAACTTTTGGCCTAGGATGCTAGACAAGAGAAAAAGATGTATTTGCCTATAAAATTTTATAAAATGCTATATAAGATTACTCCCAAGCTAAGTAACTAAGGATTATTTTTTAGTTTCTTCTACTTCAAGTTACTAAGGTAATGCATAATATATGGCGAGATCCATCATAGGGAACTCTTTCTTTCACCAAGGATCTTCAATTCACATCCTCAATCATATGTACTGCCTCTCCTAATGTTGTGGCTCATAGTGTAGCCTTCAATATTGTTGTAGCTGACCGACTAAGAAGATGTAAACATACTCCTCTCTTTTTCAGCATTTTAATTTAGGCCCCAATTGTAAGTTTAACTTATTATTTTTTTTGGGTTAAGTTTTTAGTTTTCATTGTTGGTCATCTAATTTTTAATATTCAAGAGAGACAATACTTTGTTCTTTATTATCATTACTAGCTTTTTTCTTTGTCATCTAAACATTATTTGGCTTTTACAAAGGTACATATTGGTCTGCAATTAAGTATTTCAATTCCTAGATTTTTTAATGCCAAAAATTTCAAAATGACCAAACACTTTTTTTTTAATGTATTTTAAACATGAGGTAATACACTCTTTCATCTCATGATATTTGGGTAGAACATGCTGTGTGGGTTGGGATTTTAGGTTAACACATAAAAACCCTATACCCTAATGGGCCAAATGGTAGAGACATATGCCCGAGTGCTCCAATTGTGAATTTGCCCAATTTTGTAAACCAAATATGCACCGTAAATGGCTTTGAAAGCCTTATGCAAATGTGAAGAAAAATAACTTATCGTACATCTTGTCATCACTTCCTAAAGACTGAGAGTTGGGGCTCAGTGCTTACTATTATTTATGCGTATATATCGTACTCATCATTCCAATATTAGAAGGGCCTGCAAGTAGGATTTATAGCAGTTAATGAGGGGAAAGCAGAACCATGGATCTTATAATCTCACCCTATATGCAAGCCATCCCAAATGCAAGTATTTATTATAAATGACCTTGAAGGCTTTATACAATTGTTAAGCCAAATATCTTGTCTAACATCATGTTATTAGCTCCCACTTGGAGCTTACTACTATGCTATTAGACCTTATTCTATAGCAGGAGTGGCTCAAGAATGAATATTTATATTAATGGCCATAAACATTGGTAAAACCAAGCATCTATGTTGCACCGATACGGATACGACGACACGGATATGACACGATACGGATACGGGACACGACAATTCTTAAAAATACAAGATACGGATACGGCGCGGATACGACATTATAATATATAAATTATACATAAAAAATAACAAATTAATCAAAGCATAATATTTGAAATGACAAAAAAAAAAAAAATTGAAAGCAACATTATTTGTAGGCTTGTAGCATTGTTATCTTATAATTATCAAATAAAAGTAAGCATTAAATATTTAAATGTCTAGTAAAAAAACAAAAATATAAATTGTCCAACATATGAAGTTTGAACTATTCAATAGAAGGAATGATAAGATTAGCTTTTTCAGTGGTTTGTCTTTGAATTTCGATATCATCTTCAATGAATATCATAGCTTCCAATTCAGGCTCATCAAGTGAAATATTAGCAATTTCTAATATTCCCATATCCTCAAGAGATTCAAATCCATCTCCAGCAACATCCCACATCCTGCTGTCTCCTTCCATATAAGTTGAAAGTTTTCCTTGAGAGAAGCCTGTTGACCTCTGTGTAATGCACAAAAGAAAAAAAAAAAAATCAAATCAGACCAAACCTCGTATCCACGAAACCGGACGGAAATCCCGCTAATTTACTGCAAACGGCGCCGCTCCAGTCGATTTCCCGTGAAATCCTGCTCAAACGCGAGCTCCTGCCTCGATCGAGCGCCAAATCGTCGTTAAATAGCGAGGGGCTGCTCGAACTCTGCCACGTTCGATCCCACACACGACTCTCTCCACTGCCGCGAGCTCTGCTTCCGTCGCTGCTTCCGACGACCGAACCCCTTCTTCCACGACTCTCTCCATCCCGCTTCCTCTCTCCCGCTCGCTGCTTCCTCTCGCACGCCCATTCTCCACTGACGATCTCCCTCCATCTCCGTCCACACCAAGCCGACGCCTTCTCCTCCTCTCTGACCGACCCATCCCGACCTCCTTGCTGCTCGACCTCCTCTGGCCGAGAGAGAGAGAGAGAGAAAGAGAGAGAGAGAGAGAGAGAGAGAGAGGAGAGAGAGAGAGAGAGAGAGATTTCCCCTTACCTTCTCTCCTTCAGTCGAACCCGTCTCCTCCCTCTTCCTTTGTCCGATCAAGCCCAAGAAGCCGCCGATCTGTCCTCTGCCCTAGCCAGAGACTTCCGCCTCCTTTGACATTCCCTCCCTGTTGTTTCGGAAGTTACAACATTTTTAACCGAAGGCAACAGCAGGAGTTCGCTTGCTGTATAGGTAACTCTCTCCTTTCACGCACAACTTCGGCCAAATCCCGTGAACCCGCCGAGCCTAATCGAGAGAGAGAGGGAGATAGTTTAATTAGTTTAAATTAATTTTAATTAAAGTTATTTAAATTAATTTTAATTTGATTATTTTAATTAACTATAGTTATTATAATTAATCATATTTAATTTTGATTAAGTAATTAAAATAATCTAATTAATTATGATTAATTTAATTAGAATAAATTTAATTAATTATAATTTTAATTATTATTAATTACTATTAATTAATTATAAGTTGTTAAAATAATTAATATTTATTAGTTATAATTAAAGCTATTAACTAATTATTTTAATTAATTTTATAAACTATAACTAATTATTTATTAATTATAATTAAATTAATTATAATACTATTATAATTACTAATTATAATTAATTAATAAAAAAAAAGAAGAAGAAAAAGAAAGAGAAAATTTCTCTCTCTCCCTCATCCACAAGCCGCCTGCCGATCCGCTGGCGCAAATAGGTTAATATTTTGAAACTTAGTCTCTCTCTCTCTTACCTCGACCTGAGTGTCGAAGTGGTGCTGCCCAATGCACGTTTTCTCTAGCGTGGTGGGAGGGGGGCAACCGGGGCCGCGACACCTCGACGAGGTAGGCGAGGTGACCTCCTCGATCCCGTGTGCCAACCCCAACGACCACTTGCAAAGGTTATAAGCTCCTAAAACTCTAAGCTTGAAAACTCGATCCGGCGCTTGCAAACGAGGCGAACCGACCAACTCATTGCACGCTTTTCTCTAGCGTGGTGAGAAGGGAATTCGTTGCGATGCTTGCGACGGGGCCGAGTAATCAAAACCCCATTTTCGGCGTTAGCGTCGGATCCGGGAAACGCAAGTCATGCCGCTTTTCTCTAGGCTTGGTGGGATAAGGACCGGTGCAAGAACGCCTACGTCGAGGTGGGGTAAATTATAAAACTGCTTTATTTTAAACTGGTTG